CTCTTTACAACAACTACAGGAAAAGGCACAACGGTATCTGATGGGTCATGACATTCCATGCTTTTTTTCAATCACTCTTGATGACATTGATGATATTGATGGGGTGGATATTGATTTTGTTGCTGATGATATTGTGGTATATTATTTTTTCTCCAGATAAAACTTGTGCTAAAAACTTGAAAGAAGCACGTAAGGAAAACATTTCAATAGTCCAGTGATCGCCGTGTTCAAGGATTCTAATAATAATAATCCTTGTATTTGATATAACGCCTTATCGTGTCTTTGAGACGTCTCAAAGCACTTCACAGAATATATTGTAAAGTGAATTTACTGTATATTTTGTGGGCGAAACGCAGCAGCCAATTGCACACAGCAGTGTCCCACAATTTTTGAAGGAATTATTAACCACTGAAAAGTGATCTGCCAATCGACTAACAGCCGAGTTGCTGCTGACTGATTGGTAAACAGAGGCGTGTGTGTGGAGTAAGGAAACTTGCCTAAGGCTTCGTCCCGCCCGGAAATCGAACCCGGGTCCTCTCGCTTGTGAGGCGAGTGCTGTAAACCACTAATCTACAGGACTCCAAACTCAAACCTTCTAATCATCAATTAGTTTCAATAATGAATTAATAATTGAATTTTGCCAACGTGTTAAAATGTAATTATCTTTATCGATGCAGAGAAACAGCTGATGAAAAAAGATACAGGTCAAATTTATTTACCAACTTTTTAAAGCTTAATATTCCAGCCCTGTTTCAGGCGGATGTTAAAGATCTCCCACAGCACTGTTCCAAAAGGAAACTGAGTTGCTCTCCCTCTCTCGCTCTTCCTTTCTTCTCTCTCTCTCTCACTCTCTCCTGGTCTGCTGGCCGACAATCCCCAACAGATACAATCAATTTGTCGCTTCAAGGCCGTTTAAGAATAATAATCTTTGCATTTGATATAGCGCCTTATCACGTCTTTGAGACATCTCAAAGCGCTTTACAGAACATACTGTAAAGTGTAGTGACTGTGTATTTTGTGGATGAAACGCGGCAGCTAATTGTTCACAGCAATGTCCCATAAACAGTCATGGATTGAGTGACCAACTTATTATTATTATTATGTTTAAGGAATTATTACAACAACAAAATTACATTTCTATTGCACCTTTCACGTCAGGAAGATGTCCCAAGGTGCTTGATAATCAAGGTTTCGGACCCTAGCTGGGGGTCGTGATTGGGAGGGTGGAGGGCAGGCGGGGGAAGGAGGATGACCGAAGGCACGGTCGAAGAGGAGGGTCTTGAGACGGGTCTTAAAGGAGGCAAGGGAGGGGGCGAGGCATAGGGACTGCCAGATAGAGTTCCAGAGGGTGGGGGCAGAAGGCCCGCCCGCCAATGGTGGGGCAGGCGAGGCGGGGGACTTGAAGCAGACTTGCCCGCTGAGCAGAGGTAGTGGGCAGGTTGGTCGGTCGCAGAGGTAGGGGAAGCAAGACCATGGAGGGCTTTGAGGATGAGGACCAGGATCTTGAACTGTATCCACTGAGTGATGGGAAGCCAATTGAGTCGGGCGAGGATGGGGGTGATGGGGTCGCGGAGTCCAGTGCAGGAGAAGACGTGGGCTGCAGAGTTCTGGATGATCTGGATGACCTGCAGAGTGCTGCAAAACTATACTTCACGGTGTAAAATCCTGAGAAGCGCTTTGAGATATCCTCCCAGTGAGATATGGTGCTGTGATAAATGTGAAGCTTGATTTTTTTTTATGATTGCTATTTCACGGAGGTGAACTTACTTTGTCCCCTCCCCCCCTCTCTCTCCCCAGAAATCAAGCGTCTTCAAGAATTAATCGGTTAGCAAAGAAAAAAAGGGGAAAAGGATTGAAATTCTCCTCTTGATGAGATAAAATACCATCAACAACAACAAACTTACATTTGTATAGCGCCTATCAATCACTACTCCCCGAAACTCTGGAACACTCTTCCTCTATCCCTCCGCCTTGCCCCCTTCCTTCCCCATTTTCAGTTCGCGCCTGAAGACCTTTCCGATTCGACCACGCCTACGCTTAGCTCTCAACTCCCTCCCCCTGGTTCAGTCTCATGCTCTACCACTGTCAAGCACACTGGGATGCTACTTGTGTGAGGGGCGCAGTGTAAATGCAAATTGTCGTTGTTGGTTGGTAATAATAATAATCCTTGCATTTGATACAGTGTCTTATTATGTCATCGAGATGTCTCAAAGCGCTTCACGGAATATACTGTAAAGTGAATCGACCGTGGATTTTGTTGGCGAAAAACGGCAGCCAATTATGCACAGTAACGTCCCATAAAGTAGGTTAATTTGTGGATTTAATTGCCCATTTCAACCCTATTTAATGTCCCAAAAAACACTCTTCACAGAACTTTTAGGGAAGGACGACACAGGAACTGGTTAGTTAGATCCATTGTTTTTTCTCTCCATTGTTGATGATGTTGATGTTGTTAGTTTGACTTGTTGATTGACTGTCCATTTCAAACATATTTAACCCCAAACACACTCTTTACAGAGGCTGCAGAAAAGGACACATCAGGTAACACATTTACATTTCTTGTTTCAGCGTCAATTTTGAGATTGATGTTGTTGATGATGTTTATAGAATCAAAGAATCAGAATTATACAACACAGAAGGAGACCATTGGGCCCATCATGTTCATTCCGATTCTTAAAGCTATCAACTAGTCCCACTCCCCCGCTCTCTCCCCATAGCCCTGCAAATGTGTCCTCCCCAAATATCTATGTACTTCTCTCTTGTAGATAGATATATGGGGAGGACAAATTTGTCGTTGTTGATATTTATTATGATGTTATTGGTCTTGTTGATTTGATGTTTGTGTGGATTTCTTTCTTGGTATTAATATTGTTGATGATGGTGCTGACGTTATTGACTTGATCGGTTGATTGATCGGTTGATTTGATTGGTTGGTTGTCCGTCCATTTAAACCGATTTAATACCAAACACACTCTTTACAGAAACTACAGGAAAAGACTCCACAACAGCTGGTGAGTCATTGACATTCCTGTTTTTTTCAAATCAGGCTTGATTTATTCAATAATATCGATGATGTTGACATCAATTTGGTGATGGATCTTGTTGCAATCAATTGCAATTGTTTTGTTCTAGATCACAGAACTTGTCTAAAAAACCTGGCAGAAGCACGTAAGGAAAATATTTCAAAATTTCAATATTTCAAAATTTCGTTATTTAAATATTTCACTATTTTCATATTCACTCACAAAATGCCCAATCACTACACTTCACAGCGAGTTGAATACCACAAATATTATTATTATCATCCTTTATCGTGAACACTTAATTAATAATCGAATAAAATGATTTTTTTTAAAAATCATTTTTTTATGATGAACTTCGTTCAGGAAATTAATAGTTTGTTTTGCTGATGTGGAAGAAAACGTGACTTTCTGGTTGTTGCAGAGAAACAGCTGATGACAAAAGATACAGGTAAAACTTAATTCATGTCAACTCTTTGTACTAAGTATAACACCACAAATCGCTGGAAACACGCAGCAGGTCAGCATCTATGGAGAGAGGAAAATGAGTTAACGTTTCAGGTCGATGACCTTTTGTCAGAACTCTTACACTTAGTATTTCTGACCTGTTCCCCTCTCCTCCCCCCATCCTCCTCCGCAACCTGTGCCCTGTTCAGACAGGGCTCTCTCTCAGTCTCTCTGTATCTGTCTCAGTGTGCGTGTGTCTATGTCTGTGTGTGTCTCTACACTGTATTCCGAGATATTATTTTCCTGCAGAAATCTTTCTCATTTGTTCTTGAAACAAATGACATTTTCTGCTTCCACCATCTATCTGTCTCCCTGTTCTATAAATTTACAGAAGTCGTGTTTCCCCAGCTTTTTTTCTGAATTTACTCCTCCCTTCAGTCGCAGGCTGTGTCCTCTGGTTCTACTGCTTCAGTACAAAATAAAACGAGCTTTGCATGATGTGCATTATCTTTTCCCGACAGAGTCTTGCAGACCATAATCATTTCGCCCCTCAACCTTCTGTAATCTAATCAGTTTATTTAATCTAATCGCTCGTCATAGTTCAGTCCCTCCATCCCCCGACTTGAAGATCCTCACACGCATGTTCAAATCCCTCCCTATCTCTTTGACCTCCTCACTCCCCAGTCCACCAACCGGCGCCTCCGCTCGACTGACACCGGCCTCCTTTTTGTCCCTCGTACCCTCCGCTCCACCATTGGAGGTCACACATTCAGCCACCATGCCCCGAAACTGTGGAACACTCTCTCTCAATACATCACTTGCCCCTCTCTCCCCTTTTTCAAGTCCCGCCTGAAGACCTCCCTTTTCGACCATGCTTACAGTAACCTTCCTCTCCCGCGACTCGGAGTCAAGCTCTGCCACTGTTAAGTGGACTGAGAGGCTGCCCTAGTGGAGGGCACTGTATAAATGCAAGTTGTTGTAGTTGCATTATTATTGCTATTGTATGTAAAGTTCACATACTTTGTCTTCCCAGAAATCAAGCGTCTTGAAGGAATAATTGGTGAGCAAAGCAAATTAATTGGAACTCTCCTCCCAATGAGATAATGTGCTGCATCGATCTGACAATTATTATAGTGATTAAATGTACAATATGATACAATATGTCAGATTGCTCCAATGCTGTTATATCACTCGCCTCGCAAGCGAGAGGACCTGGGTTCGATTCCTGGGTGGCACAGGGTGAAACATTGGGCAAGTTTCCTTACTTCACACACGCACACGCCTCTGTTAACTAGAGGTAAGTAGGAACCCGGTTGTTTGTCGATTGGCGGATCGCTTTTCCAGGGGTAATAATTCCTTCAAACAAAAATAATAAATTGGTTACTCAAGCCACGACTGTTTGTGGGACACTGCTGTGTGCAATTGGCTGCCACATTTCGCCCACAAAATACACAGTCACTACACTTTACAGTGTGGTGCTATGACATGTTTTGAGATATCTGGACGACTTAATAAATCACTGTATCAAATGCAAGGATTATTATTATTATTGTTATTAAGATGGATTGCTCATTTAAACCCTATTTAATGCCAAACACACTCTTTACAGAAACTACAGAAAAAGGCTCCACAACATCTGGTGAGTCATTGGCAATACTGCTTTTTTTTCAAATCAGGCTCGATTTATTCGTTAATATTGATGATGTTGACATTGGTTTGGTGATGGATCTTGTTGCAATAAATTGCAATGGTTTTGTTCTAGATTACAGAATTTGTCTAAAAAACCTGTCAGAAGCACGTAAGGAAAATATTTCAAAATTTCAATATTTCGAAATTTCAAAATTTTAAAATTTTGATATTTAAATATTTCACTATTTTCATATTCACTTACAAAATGCCCAGTCACTACACTTTACAGCGACTTGAATGCCAGGATTATTATTATGATCATCATCATTTATCGTTAACACTTAATTAATAATTCAACAAAATGATTTTTTTAAAAAATCATTTATTTATGTTGAACTTGGTTCAGGAATTTAATGGTATGTTTTGCTGATGTGGAAAAAAACGTGACTTTCTGGTCTTTGCAGAGAAACAGCTGAAGACAAAAGATACAGGTAAAACTTAATTCATGTCAACTCTTTGTACTTAGTATAAAAACACAAATCGCTGGGAACACGCAGCAGGTCAGCATCTATGAAGAGAGGAAAATGAGTTAAAAGTTTCAAGTCGATGACGTTTTGTCAGAACTTTTATACTTAGTATTTCTGACCTGTTCCCCTCTCCTCCCCCAATCCTCCTCCCCAACCTGTGTCCTGTTTAGACAAAGGTTAAAGATCTCTCCTTTTCTCTCGCTTTCTCTCCATCTCTTGGTGTCATAAGAACATAAGAATTTGCTGACGAAAGAACAACACCAAAATTACATTTGTATAGCACCTTTCATGTCGGGAGGATGGTCCAATGCACTGGACAGTCAGTGTTTCGAACCTAAGCTGGGGTTCGGGATTGGGAAGTGTGGAGGGCAGAAGGGGGGGAAGCAGTGCGATCGAAAGCACGGTCGAGGGTTTTGAGATGGGTCTTGAAGGTGGTGAGGGATGGGGGAGCAAGACCATGGAGCGGTTTGAAGCTGAGGACCAGCATCTTGAACTGTATCCTCTGAGTGATAGGAAGTCAGTGGAGTCGCACAAGGACGGGGGTGATAGGGTCACGGAGCCTGGTGCAAGAGGGACATGGGCTGCAGAGTTCTGGATGATCTGCAGCCTATGGAGGGAGCAGTTGTGGAGGCCGACAAGCAGGGAGTTTGCATAGTCAAGCCTCAATCTAATGAAAGCGCGTATGAGGGTTTCTGCGGCCTGAGTGCGAGACAGTGGCAGAGCTGGGCAATGAGGTGTGGGAAGGCAGAGTGGGTCATGGCACGGATGTGGGCAGGAAGGATAGTTGAGGTTCGATCAAGACAGCAAGGTTCTGGACTGGCTTAGCAAGGTGGAGTGTGCATCCATGGATGGTGAGGTGTGGAGGCGCGACGGGAGCCAATTAGGCGGGCCTCGGTCTTGTTGCCGTTCAATTGAAGAAAGTTAGCTCTCATCCAGAAAGAAGACCAAGGTCCATTGGGTTCACCTTCCACCATCCTGGCAGTCGCTTGACATGTCATATCCCAAACTGTATGCTGTTTGTGTGTGTGTGTGTGTCTCTGTGTGTGTCTCTCTCTCAGTCTCTCTGTATCTGTCTCTGTGTGTGTGTGTCTATGTCTGTGTGTGTCTCTACACTGTATTCCCAGATATTATTTTCCTGCAGAAATCTTTCTCATTTGTTCTTGAAACAAATGACATTTTCTGCTTCCACCATCTATCTGTCTCCCTGTTCTATAAATTTACAGAAGTCGTGTTTCCCCAGCTTTTTTTCTGAATTTACTCCTCCCTTCAGTCGCAGGCTGTGTCCTCTGGTTCTACTGGTTCAGTACAAAATAAAACGAGCTTTGCATGATGTGCATTATCTTTTCCCAACAGAGTCTTACAGACCATAATAATATCGCCCCTCAACCTTCTGTAATCTAATCAGTTTATCTAATCTAATCGCTCCTCATAGTTCAGTCCCTCCATCCCCCGACTTAAAGATCCTCACACGCATGTTCAAATCCCTCCCTATCTCTCTGACCTCCTCACTCCCCAGTCCACCAACCGGCACCTCCGCTCGACTGACACCGGCCTCCTTTTTGTCCCTCGTACCCTCCGCTCCACCATTGGAGGTCACACATTCAGCCACCATGCCCCGAAACCGTTGAACACTCTCCCTCAATCCGTCCCTTGCCCCTCTCTTCCCTTTTTCAAGTCCCGCCTGAAGACCTCCCTTTTCGACCGTGCTTACAGTAACCTTCCTCTCCCGGGACTCGGAGTCAAGCTCTGCCACTGTTAAGTGGTCTGAGAGGCTGCCCTAGTGGAGGGCACTGTATAAATGCAAGTTGTTGTAGTTGCATTATTATTGCTATTGTATGTAAAGTTCACGTACTTTGTCTTCCCAGAAATCAAGCGTCTTGAAGGAATAATTGGTGAGTAAAGAAAATTAATTGGAACTCTCCTCCCAATGAGATAATGTGCTGCATCGATCTGACAATTATTATAGTGATTAAATGTACAATATGATACAATATGTCAGATTGCTCCAATGCTGTTATATCGCTCGCCTCGCAAGCAAGAGGATCTGGGTTCGATTCCTGGGTTGCCCAGGGTGAAACATTGGGCAAGTTTCCTTACTTCACACACGCACACGCCTCTGTTAACTAGAGGTAAGTAGGAACCCGGTTGTTTGTCGATTGGCGGATCGCTTTTCCAGGGGTAATAATTCCTTCAAACAAAAATAATAAATTGGTTACTCAAGCCGCGACTATTTGTGGGACACTGCTGTGTGCAATTGGCTGCCACATTTCGCCCACAAAATACAGTCACTACACTTTACAGTGTGGTTCTATGACATGTTTTGAGATATCTGAACGACAGAGGGCACTGTATAAATGCAAGTTGTTGTAGTTGCATTATTATTGCTATTGTATGTAAAGTTCACATACTTTGTCTTCCCAGATATCAAGCATCTTGAAGGAATAATTGGTGAGCAACGAAAATTAATTGGAACTCTCCTCCCAATGAGATAATGTGCTGCGTTGACCTGACAATTATTATAGTGATTAAATGTACAATATGATACAATATGACAGATTCCTTCAATTCCTTCAAAAAAAAATAATAAATTGGTTACTCAAGCCACGACTGTTTGTGGGACACTGCTGTGTGCAATTGGCTGCCACATTTCGCCCACAAAATACACAGTCACTACACTTTACAGTGTGGTGCTATGACATGTTTTGAGATATCTGGACGACTTAATAAATCACTATTAAATGCAAGGATTATTATTGTTATTAAGATGGATTGCTCATTTAAATCCAATTTAATGCCAAACACACTCTTTACAGAAACTACAGGAAAAGGCTCCACAACAGCTGGTGAGTTATTGGCAATGCTGTTTTTTTTCAAATCAGGCTCGATTTATTCGTTAATATTGATGATGTTGACATTGGTTTGGTGATGGATCTTGTTGCAATAAATTGCAATTGTTTTGTTCTAGATCACAGAACTTGTCTAAAAAACCTGGCAGAAGCACGTAAGGAAAATATTTCAAAATTTCAATATTTCAAAATTTCACTATTTTCATATTCACTCACAAAATGCCCAGTCACTACACTTTACAGCAGGTTGAATCCCAGGATTATTATTATCATCATCATCATCATCATTTATCATTTACACTTAATTAATAATTGAATAAAATTATTTTTTAAAAAATCATTTTTTTATGATGAACTTGGTTCATGAAATTAATGGTATGTTTTGCTGATGTGGAAGAAAACGTGACTTTCTGGTCTTTGCAGAGAAACAGCTGAAGACAAAAGATACAGGTAAAACTTAATTCATGTCAACTCTTTGTACTTAGTATAAAAACACAAATCGCTGGGAACACGCAGCAGGTCAGCATCTATGAAGAGAGGAAAATGAGTTAAAAGTTTCAAGTCGATGACGTTTTGTCAGAACTTTTATACTTAGTATTTCTGACCTGTTCCCCTCTCCTCCCCCCAATCCTCCTCCCCAACCTGTGTCCTGTTTAGACAAAGGTTAAAGATCTCTCCTTTTCTCTCGCTTTCTCTCCATCTCTTGGTGTCATAAGAACATAAGAATTTGCTGACGAAACAACAACAACAAAATTAAATTTGTACAGCACCTTCATTGTCGGGAGGATGTTCCAAGGTGCTGGACAATCAGTGTTTCGGACCTAAGCTGTGGTTCAGGATTGGGGAGTGTGGAGGGCAGAAGGGGGGGAAGCAGTGTGATCGAAAGCACAGTCGAAGAGGAGGGTTTTGAGATGGGTCTTGAAGGTGGTGAGGGATGGGGGAGCAAGACCATGGAGCGGTTTGAAGCTGAGGACCAGCAACTTGAACTGTATCCTCTGAGTGATGGGAAGCCAGTGGAGTCCCACAAAGATGGTGGTGATAGGGTCACGGAGCCTGGTGCGAGAGAGGACATGGGCTGCAGAGTTCTGGATGATCTGCAGCCTATGGAGGGAAGAATTTTGGAGGCCGACAAGCAGGGATTTTGCATAGTCAAGCCTCAATCTAATGAAAGTGTGCATGAGGGTTTCTGCGGCCTGTGGTGTGAGACTAATCACTCCTCATAGTTCAATCTCTCCATCCCCCGACTTGAAGATCCTCACAAAATCCCTCCCTATCTCTCTGACCTCCTCACTCCCCAGTCCACCAACCGGCACCTTCGCTCGACTGACACCGGCCTCCTTTTTGTCCCTCGTACCCTCCGCTCCACCATTGGAGGTCACACATTCAGCCACCATGCCCCGAAACTGTTGAACACTCTCCCTCAATCTGAAGACCTTCCTTTTTGACCGTGCTTACAGTCACCTTCCTCTCCCGCGACTCGGAGTCAAGTTCTGCCACTGTTAAGTGTTCTGAGAGGCTGCCCTAGTGGAGGGCACTATATAAATGCAAGTTGTTGTAGTTGCATTATTATTGCTATTGTATGTAAAGTTCACGTACTTTGTCTTCCCAGAAATCAAGCGTCTTGAAGGAATAATTGGTGAGCAAAGCAAATTAATTGGAACTCTCCTCCCAATGAGATAATGTGCTGCGTTGACCTGACAATTATTATAGTGATTAAATGTACAATATGATACAATATGACAGATTCCTTCAATTCCTTCAAAAAAAAATAATAAATTGGTAACTCAAGCCACGACTGTTTGTGGGACACTGCTGTGTGCAATTGGCTGCCACATTTCGCCCACAAAATACACAGTCACTACACTTTACAGTGTGGTGCTATGACATGTTTTGAGATATCTGGACGACTTAATAAATCACTATTAAATGCAAGGATTATTATTATTATTGTTATTAAGATGGATTGCTCATTTAAACCCAATTTAATGCCAAACACACTCTTTACAGAAACTACAGGAAAAGGCTCCACAACAGCTGGTGAGTCATTGGCAATGCTGTTTTTTTTCAAATCAGGCTTGATTTATTCGTTAATATTGATGATGTTGACATTGGTTTGGTGATGGATCTTGTTGCAATAAATTGCAATTGTTTTGTTCTAGATCACAGAACTTGTCTAAAAAACCTGGCAGAAGCACGTAAGGAAAATATTTCAAAATTTCAATATTTCAAAATTTCACTATTTTCATATTCACTCACAAAATGCCCAGTCACTACACTTTACAGCAGGTTGAATCCCAGGATTATTATTATCATCATCATCATCATCATTTATCATTTACACTTAATTAATAATTGAATAAAATTATTTTTTAAAAAAATCATTTTTTTATGATGAACTTGGTTCATGAAATTAATGGTATGTTTTGCTGATGTGGAAGAAAACGTGACTTTCTGGTCTTTGCAGAGAAACAGCTGAAGACAAAAGATACAGGTAAAACTTAATTCATGTCAACTCTTTGTACTTAGTATAAAAACACAAATCGCTGGGAACACGCAGCAGGTCAGCATCTATGAAGAGAGGAAAATGAGTTAAAAGTTTCAAGTCGATGACGTTTTGTCAGAACTTTTATACTTAGTATTTCTGACCTGTTCCCCTCTCCTCCCCCCAATCCTCCTCCCCAACCTGTGTCCTGTTTAGACAAAGGTTAAAGATCTCTCCTTTTCTCTCGCTTTCTCTCCATCTCTTGGTGTCATAAGAACATAAGAATTTGCTGACGAAACAACAACAAAATTAAATTTGTACAGCACCTTCATTGTCGGGAGGATGTTCCAAGGTGCTGGACAATCAGTGTTTCGGACCTAAGCTGTGGTTCAGGATTGGGGAGTGTGGAGGGCAGAAGGGGGGGAAGCAGTGTGATCGAAAGCACAGTCGAAGAGGAGGGTTTTGAGATGGGTCTTGAAGGTGGTGAGGGATGGGGGAGCAAGACCATGGAGCGGTTTGAAGCTGAGGACCAGCAACTTGAACTGTATCCTCTGAGTGATGGGAAGCCAGTGGAGTCCCACAAAGATGGTGGTGATAGGGTCACGGAGCCTGGTGCGAGAGAGGACATGGGCTGCAGAGTTCTGGATGATCTGCAGCCTATGGAGGGAAGAATTGTGGAGGCCGACAAGCAGGGAGTTTGCATAGTCAAGCCTCAATCTAATGAAAGTGTGCATGAGGGTTTCTGCGGCCTGTGGTGTGAGACTAATCACTCCTCATAGTTCAGTCCCTCCATCCCCCGACTTGAAGATCCTCACAAAATCCCTCCCTATCTCTCTGACCTCCTCACTCCCCAGTCCACCAACCGGCACCTCCGCTCGACTGACACCGGCCTCCTTTTTGTCCCTCGTACCCTCCGCTCCACCATTGGAGGTCACACATTCAGCCACCATGCCCCGAAACTGTTGAACACTCTCCCTCAATCTGAAGACCTTCCTTTTTGACCGTGCTTACAGTCACCTTCCTCTCCCGCGACTCGGAGTCAAGTTCTGCCACTGTTAAGTGTTCTGAGAGGCTGCCCTAGTGGAGGGCACTATATAAATGCAAGTTGTTGTAGTTGCATTATTATTGCTATTGTATGTAAAGTTCACATACTTTGTCTTCCCAGAAATCAAGCGTCTTCAAGTAATAATTGGTGAGCAAAGCAAACAATTTGGAACTCTCGATCTGACAATTATTATGGTTATCAAATGTACAATATGACACATTGCTCCAATACTGTTAGAGCACTCGCCTCACAAGCGAGAGGACCTGGGTTCAATTCCTGGGTGGCACAGGGTGAAACATTGGGCAAGTTTCCTTACTTCACACACGCACACGCCTCTGTTAACTAGAGGTAAGTAGGAAACCGGTTGTTTGTCAATTGGCGGATCGCTTTTCCAGGGGTAATAATTCCTTCAAAAAAAATAATAAATTGGTTACTCAATCCACGACTGTTTGTGGGACACTGCTGTGCGTTATTGGCCGCCAAGTTTCGCCCACAAAATACACAGTCACTACACTTTACAGTGTAGTCCTATGACATGTTTTGAGATATCTGGACGACTTGATAAATGACTGTATCAAATGCAAGGATTATTATTATTATTAGGATGGGTTGCTCATTTAAACCCTATTTAATTCCAAACACACTCTTTACAGAAACTTTAGGAAGTGGTGACAAAGGAACTGGTGAATTGTTTTTTTTTTTTTTGTATTTGATGTTGCTGTTGTTGTTGATGATAATGTTGATGTTATATTAAATTACAAATATTTTATTCTAGACCATGGAAATTGTGCTAGAACTTTGATAGAAGCACGTAAGGAAAATATTGCAATATTGCAATCTTCGCCTACGAAATGCACAGTCACATTTCTCAGTGAAAATCCTGTGAAGCATTTTTGAGACGTCCTTTCAGTAATAAGGCTCTGTATCAAATCCAAAGATTATTATTACAATAAGAATTATTCTTTTTTTATTACTATTAAATTAATATCGTTTTTTAAAAGCAATTCTCTCTGTCACTGTTTCTTAATGCGTAGTTGCCGAAAGATTTTATTAGCGATAACATTTGGTACTTTGTGCGAATTTACTTTACGAAATGAATGGTTTGTTTCCCGTTAATCTTGTGTTAATTCACAACTCGCTTTGTCAAACTGCAGAGAAACAACTGATGGAAAAAGACGCAGGTAAAAATGATTTAAGATATTTGACCCTTGGTCAACTTTTTATGCTTAGGTCGAGTCCTGTAGCTCAGTGGTTAAAACACTGAGGAACCTGCTTGTTAGTCGATTGGTGGATTGCTTTCCGGGGGTAATAATCCCTTCAAAAATAAAATAATAATTTGGTCACTCAATCCACGGCTGTTTATGGGACACTGCTGTGCGCAATTGGCAGTCCCGCTTCGCACACAAAACATACAGTCACTACACTTTACAGTTTATTCTGTGAGGCGCTTTGAGACGTCTCAAAGACGTGATCAGACACTATATCAAATGCAAGGATTATTATATTATTATTATTATACCCTTTCTTTCCAGAAATCCTACAACTGAAAGGAGATGACATTGGTTAGCAAAGATAAGGGGGAAAAACTTGAAAAACACATTTGAGATTTGGCATAAATTTATATTGTTTAATATTTATGTTTTTAAACATTTTGTTTTGCCAGACAATTACAAAATCCTTGTTCTCACCTTCAAATCCCTCCACTGTCTCTTCTTCATTAACTTTGTTCTTTATAATATTGTCACGTAACATTTATAATTATTATATTTTATTGGAATAATATGATTTATTACTATCATTTATTATATATATGATTCTATTTATTTCTATACTGTTATATTAAATAAAATATTTATAATTATTGTGCTGTTTATTCTAATAGTTTTACTTTATTATTTATGTACTAACCATTATTATTAACTTTTTTATTTAAATATAAAATGCACCACTACTTGTATTAGAATAATATTATTTAATACTGTCATTTATTTATTATATATAATTCTATCCATTAGTATCATATTGTAATATAATATTTATAATACGCTGTTTATTGTAATATTTATTACTTATTTACTATTCATTATTATTTATTTATTTATTTGGCTATCAAATACTACCACTAATTTCTGCCAAAATGCATTATCTCAACTGCTTATTTTCTCTCCCATTAATTCCCTTTATAGGGCATGATATTTGTAAACAGGAACTGGAAACAGCAAGTGAGGAAAATACACCATAATAACAATCATAATAATCTTTGCATTTGATATAGCGCCTTATCACGTCTTTGAGACGTCTCAAAGCTCTTCCCAGAATATACTGTAAAGTGAATTGACTGTATATTTTGCGGGCGAAACACGGCAGCCAATTACGCACAGCAGCGTCCCACAAACAGTCGTAGATTGAGTGACCAAATTATTCTTACTATGTCATCCATGGTTCATTATTAATAACAACAACAACTTGCATTTACACAGCACCATTCACGCGAGGTAGTGTCTTGGAGGGCTTGACAGTGGTGGGGTCTGACCCCGAGCCAGGGAGAGAGGGAGGTGGGAGGTGACCGTAAGCACGATCAAAAAGGAAGGTCTTTAGGTGGGGTTTGCAGTTAGGTAGGAAGGGAGCAAGCCGGAGGGATTGAGGAAGAGAGTTCCAGACTTTCGGGGCGAGTGGCCGAAGGCACGGCCACTGATGGTGGAGTGGAGGCCACGAGGGATGAACAGGAGGTGGAGTCAGTCGAGCGGAGGCAGCGGGTGGTGGAGTGGTGGGGGGTAAGCAAATATACATTGAATAAGGACTGTTAATGATGTTGATGGTGTTGATGTCATATCTTGCAACAGGAGAAATGCTTTTGAAGAAACAAGGTAAATCCTCTCACTTGTTTTCAAATCCTTCATGCCCTGGCACCTCCGTACCACTCCTGCCTGCTTAGCCTCCACTCCACCACCCGCTGCCTCCGCTCGACTGGCTTTGGCCTCCTGTTTCTCCCACGTCCCCTCCACTCCACCATCGGTGGCCGTGCCTTCACCCACTACGCCCCGAAACTCCCTCAATCCCTCCACCTTGCCCCCCCCCACCTCCCCACCTTCACATCCCGCCTAAAGATCTTCCTTTTGATCGTGCTTACGGGTGACTTAGGGTCAGACTTCACCACTGTCAAGTGCTCCGGGCGCTACCCCACGTGAAGGGTCCTGTGTAAATGCAAGTCGTTGTTGTTGTATTATCGGTTACATTTAGAATAAACTTTGGTGTTTGCACATCTTACTTCCCAGCAGAGGAACCGGGAACAGGTAAATTGGGGAGTCCTGTAGCTTAGTGATTAGAGCGCTCGCCTTGCAAGTGAGGGGACCTGGGTTCGATTCTTGGGTGCGTCAGGGCAAAACTTTGGGCAAGTTTTTTTACTCCACACACACAAACACCACTGTTTACCTAGCGGTAATCAGGAACCCAGTTGTTAGTCGATTGGAGGACCGCTTTAACAGGGGTAATAATCCCATCCAAAAAAAATTGGTCACTCAATTCACGACTGTTTGCGGGACATTGCTGTGCGTACTTGGCTGCCACGTTTCGCCCACAAAATACACAGTCAATTCACTTTATGGTATATTCTGTGAAGCGCTTTGAGACATCTGGAAGATGTGATAAGACGCTATATCAAATGCAAGGATTATTATTATTTTTATTATTTCTTTGCAGATTTGGCCAAGGGAGAAAGAGTAGTCGGTAAATATTAATTTATCTTGTGTGTGTTCGTGGGTGTGTGCGTGTGTTGGGGGAGTGGGGTGGGGGTATTTTAATTGAAGGTTAAAGATCTCCCGTGGCACTGTCGGGAAAAGAGAAGGGAGTTTCCCTCTCTCTCTCCCGATATCCAGGCCGACAGTCCCCCAGGTAAAGTCGCTCGCTCACTTCACGGCTGTTTGCGGGGACATCGCTGTCCGTAAAACAAAATGCACAGTCAGTACACTTCACGGTGAAAATTCCGGGAAGCTCTTTGGGAAGTCCTCCCTCCTGACATGATAAGGCGCCTCGTCGAACGTGAAAATTATTATAATTATTATTACGATTATATTTCCGCAGAAATGTACTAAAACGAGAATGTTTTTTTCTCTCCCCCCTCATTAGAGTACTATGACTGCGTGCACAAATTAAGATCAGCAGGTGATCATTGATGAGGGTCAATAATCCATCCATTTTCATTGATGTACATAATATTTATTGGTTAGAGCCCTCGCCTCGCAAGCGAGAGGACCTGGGTTTGATTCCCGGACTTAGGACAAGTTTCCTTACTCCACACACACGACTCTGTTTACATAGCAGGAAGTAGGAACCCGTTTGTTAGTTGATTGGCGGATCGCATTTCCGGGGGACGTGATAAGGCGCTATATCAAATACAAGGATTATTGTTATTGTTATAATCTGATCTATCAAATAAATATCTCCAGCTTCAATGTCCTTAAATCTTTTTTTTGTATTATTCTGTACAGAAATATCGGTCAGCCAAAGAGAGAAAGGTGAGAGTTTAATCAGACATTTTCTGTAAGAAATTATTTTGCAATCTCCTGATAATTTATTAAACGTTGGGCAAGTTTCCTTACTCCACACGCACACCTCTGTTCCCTACCAGTAAGTAGGAACCTGCTTGTTTGTCGATTGATGGATCACTTTCCGGGGGTAATAATCGCTTCAAAAATAATAATAATAATTTGGTCACTCAATCCACGGCTGTTTGTGGACACTGCTGCCCTGCTTCGCTCATAAAACATACAGTCACTACACAGTTTATTCTGTGAAGTGCTTTGAGACGTCTCAAAGACGTGATCAGGCACTGTCTCAAATGCAAGGATTATTATCAGTTTATTATTATTTAACAGGTCAAAATAAATAAATAAACAAACAAACACAAATTCTGATTTATTTTCTAGAAGTGAGAATCAAGGAAGAAAAAATACGCGATTTAGGTAAATTTGCTCACTCACTCACTCACTCACTCACTCACTCACTCACTCACTCACTCACTCACTCACTCACTCACTCACTCACTCACTCACTCACTCACTCACTCACTCACTCACTCACAATAAGGTGTAATATTAAATTCATTATTGTTGTTAAGATTGTTGTATTTGTATTATTGTTATTACCCTTTTTATTATCAACTATTATATTGTTAATAATAATAACTTGTGTTGTTATTGATGTTATTGTTATATTTTATTATTCTATGATTCAATTATTATTGTTTTTCATATTATTTTTACAATGTATCTGTTTACAGAGCTGGATTTAAAAACTGTGATTTACAGTGAGTGCTGCTAGGAAAGGATTAATATATGTGTCTATGTGTGTGTGTATGTCTGTTTGTCTATCATTGTGTGTTTGTGTGTCTGTCCATGTGTGTGTGTTTATGTGTGTCTGTCAGCGCGTGTGTGTGAGATTATTTCACAAATAATCATAAATCACATTCTGACTTGCAGCTGATGCCGTCAACGAAAAGGTTAATGGTAAAACAAACCTGGTCAACAATCCTCCAGATAAAATCGCTCGCTCGCTTCACGACTGTTTGTGAGACATTGCTGTGCGCAATTGGCTGTCATGTTTCGCCCCCAAAACACACAGTCACTACACTTTACAGTGTATCCGGTGGAGCACTTTGAGATGTCTCGACGACGTGATAAGGCGCTGTATCAAATGCAAGGATTACTTTGATGATGGTTACTTATTTTTCTTATAACTGTTATTACAACGACTATTGCTATTATAAGTAATTGTTTTTTAATGATTTGCTTTTTGTTGTTTCTTTCTCAGAATTAAAAAAGCAACAAAAAATGTTGGAAAACTTAGGTGAGGAATAAATCAAGATGAACGTTTTAATCGAATGAGTGATTATTTTTTAATCTGAAAGGGCTTTGAGATGTCCTCCCTCCCTCCCTCCCGACGCAATAAGGCGCCGTGTTGAACGCGAGGATTATTATTTATAATTATAATAATGATTATTATTAATATTCTGACCTAACAGAGAACAAGTGTGCAATTCAGATGATTGGTAAGTATTCGATTTTCCTGAAGATAAAATTAAAACCCGGTCCTTAGTGATTGGCGGATCACTCTTCCGGGAGTAATATTCCCTTCCCCAAAAAAGAAGAATTTGGTCACTCAATCCACAGCTGATTGTGGGACGTTACTGTCAGCAATTGGATTCCGTGTTTAACCCAGAAATCACATAGTTACTACACTTTGCAGCGTATCCTGTGAAGCGCTTTGAGATATCTTGAAGACGCGATAGGCGCTGTATCAAACGCAAGGAATATTATTAAATTTATAACTGGCAATCGACTGACATCTGGGTTCCTATTTACTGCTAGGTAAATAGAGTGTGCGTAGTAACTCACCCAACATTTCGCCCTGACCTGCCCGGAAATCAAAACCCAGGTCTCGCTTGTGAGGCGAGCGCACTAAACACTGAGCTACTGGACTCCACTAATGAAGTGATAAACAATAAGATGATGCTGTGTTCGTATCACCTGCAGATTTGGGTATCGTCAGAACCAAGTTCATTAAGGCTGGTGAGAAACTCGAAACACACCTCACACCCAGAGAATAATTCCTCACCATGTTTACATCCATAGCCCCGTCGCCCCAGTCTTTGCCAGGATCTACTGGATCCCTATTACACCCACTAAACCCTGTATCCCCCATCATACCAGTCCTCACCAGGGTCCACTGGCTCCCTATCACACACACTAAACTCCAACTCCGCCACCGTCAAGTGCTCTGGGATGCTACCCCGCGTGAGGGACTCTGTGTAAATGCAAGTTGTTGTTGTATCCTTTTATTTATTTATGTATATTTACTCCCGCGATCCGACATTTGGCTCCATTAATCCCATTAATATTAATTTCTATTTTTATTCGCTCGCAGAGGAAACCATTTTGCTGAAGACAGCAGGTGAGAGTACAGAGGACACACACACATTGTCGGAGACGCCGTTTTTCGGATGAGACGCGCTGTGCGCAAAACGGGGGGCCGGCCGCGAAATGCACAGTCACTACACTTTATAGTGTGTCCTGTGAAGTGCTTCGAGCCACCTCGAAGTCATGATAAGGCAATATATAGAGCAAATGCAAGGATTACTATATATTATAATCGTGAGTATTTTTCTTTCCCCAGAAAACCTCCGATTAGAAAAGTTATTGAAAGAAACAGGTCAGAACAAAAAATGCTTCATATACACACACACAGACACGCATATAGACACACCCTCTCACACACACACACACACATACATTCTCACACACACGAATACATAAGCACACTCTTCTCTCACATACACGCACAAATTAAACATTTAACGCTTAAAAATATGACACTTTGAATTTCTCTCTGTCTCTCCCGGTGTTCTGGCCAACAATCCCCCAAATAAAATCGCTCACTTGTTCACAGCTTTTTGCCTCATAAACCTTATTCCTGTTCCTTAACAGAGGAACTACTGGAACAAAAACAAGCAGGTAAACAGGAAACATTTCATGTAATCAGGGATTACATTTTCTCCACAACAGAATCACACTCCCTCTCTCTGTGTGTCTCTGTCGGTCTCTATCAATATCTCTCAGTCTCTGTCTCTCTCAGTCGCTGTCTCTCTCTATCTGTCTCAGTCTCTCTCACTCTGTCTCTCCTCAGGGTCTCCAAATTTCTCTGTGTCTCTCTATCTGTTTGTCTCTCTCTCCCTCTCTGTTTCTCTCTTTGTCTCTCCCTTCTCTGTCTCTCACTCTCTGACTCTGTCTCTCTCAGTCTGTGTCTCTCTCAGTCAGTCTCCATCTCTCTCTCAATCTCTCTGTTTCTCTCACACTCTGTCTGTCTGACTCTCTCTCCCTCTTAATAATAATCTCTCTCCCTCTCTTAATCATTATACTCAATTATTAATATCCTCATTAATTGCTTTTTTTAAGATCTGGTACTAAAATGCGGAAGTAAGTTAATAACTTCATAATAAAGCAAGTATACAATAAACAAATAATTAATAATTATTATAATATAATAATATAATTATTATTATTAGGCGAGCACTCTAACCACTAAGCTAACATTAGTTAGACACTGTATAAATGCAATTTGTTGTTGTTTTTCTTGACTCAGAAAAAGTCATTCTTTTTTTTATTTACTGTTTTTCAGGTGATCTGGTTCAGCAAACAAATATGGGTAAAATAATACTTTGGAATCCTCCCAATCAGCTCCTGTTAACCCTGCAAGCCAAAGCCCTAACTAACAAGTAGTCCCTAGCTGGACAAACAGCGGGAAAGCTTGCCAGACAGCATTCTCAATGGGCAAGCAATGCAGTTTTAGCTGGTTAGACTCCAGCAGTTACCCCAACACACACTCTGGTCTCCCTCAAAGCTCTCGCCACCCTGCGCCTAATACTCTCAGGAATTAGGTAAGCAGGATGCATCCCTCCAGGGAGAGAGAGAGAGAGAGAGAGAGAGGGCGCATTCCATTCCAATAATGTATCTCTGCGATTTCCATGTGTAGGTGGGAGGTTATTATTATTATTACCTTTTATCAGAGTTTCTAATGATGTCTTAAATTCACTTTGAATTTCAGAGTTGAATACCTGCAAACAACAGCTCAATGATGCAGGTTAGGATAGAGATTAATGTAATACTGTTTAATAATAATCCTTGCAGTTGATATAGCACCTTGTCATGTCTTCAAGATATTTCAAAGTGCTTTGGTGTGACCTGTAGTGACTGTGCCTTCTGACTCGGAGGTGAGAGAGTAAGCGACTGAGACACACACTAACACTCACACACACACACACACACATATATATACACACATATATACACACACTATTATACATATTGTGGCGACCTGCAGCTCAGTGGTTAGAGCACTCGCCTCGCAAGCAAGAGGACCTGGGTTTGATTCCCGAGCAGGTCAGGGTGAAACATTGGTCAAGTTTCCTGACTCCACAGACACACTCGCCTCTGTTTACCTAAAAGTAAGTAGGAACCCGGTTGTTAGTCAATTGGTGGATCGCTTTTCTGGGGTTAATAACCCCTTCAAACTAAATAATAATAAATCAGTTCCTCAATTCACGACTGTGTGGGACGCTTCTGTGCACTATTGGCTGCCATGTTTCACCCACAAAGTATACACTCAATTCTCTTTACAATGTATTCTGTGAAGCGCTTTGAGACGTCTCGAAGACGTAATAAGGCGGTATATCAAATGCAAGGCTTATTATTATTATGTTGATTGAGTATTAGTTTTTAACCAGCTCAAATACTATTTTGCGTTTGATCTTGCAGAAAACAAGTTATATGCAGTTCAAAAAGGTAAAGCGAGAGAGAGAGAGAGAAACTCCCTTCTGTTTTCGCGACTGCCAGTGTGGGAGATCTTTAACGTCCGCCTGAACAGAGGACAGATGGGAGGGAGGGAGGTTTAATGTCTTAGATGAATGAATGCACAATACGTACTTGGAGACTGACTTTGAACGAGGTGAGAGACGGAGGTTGGAGAGGGAGAGAGAGCGTGTGTGAGAGAGAAAGTGTGTGTGCGAGACTGAGGGAGTGTGTGTGCGTGTGTGAGAGAGAGAGAGCGTGTGTATGCAAGAGAGACTGTGTGTGGGCTTGAGAAAAAGTGTGTGAGCGAGTGTGTGTGGGTGAGTTTGTGTGTGTGCATGTGAGAGAGAGTGTGTGTGTGCACATGAGAGAGAGACTCGAGGGATTTCAAGGTTAGGACGAGGATATTGAACTTGAGAGGAAAGAAGGGCTCACATTATAAAATTGCTGTTAAAAATATACGTAATATATCCATTGTTTTTCTTTACAGAGTTAGCGAGACGTATACAAATTGCAGGTCAGTGAGAGATATCCCTCTAGCTTAGGGCTTTTATGATAATATTATTTTTAATATTGTTATCATTATTGTTAGGATTATTATATATTGTTATTATTATATTCTAGCTGCACCCATTGCAGCTACACTTCCAACCAAACGATCCAATATGGAATGTAGATTTCAGTGATACCACTCAAATTAGTTAACAAGTACGATGAGCTTGTTTGGGTCGCAGCTCATGAACGATAGAAGATCCTATCAAAGCTACGCTAACCGAAGGGGGATATAGACTTTTCAGGGGTTCAGGTGCTCTGTGAGTTGCTCTGGTTTCACCTTGCCAAGCAAGCAACACATGGAAGGAAGTTCTTTTGCCTGCTTCACGGCCCCACAGTGGGCACATACATTCGACATATTCCCAAAATGATGGGCACCATCCGATTCGTAATCTTCTGCCTGGATCATAGTTGAGCGCAGCTAAATGGAGTGACCTCTGCTGCTGGGCGTCATTTTGCTGTGTGCTTGCATGCCTTTCTGCGTCCAAGTCCAGCTGAAGTGTTCTTTGAGTGGGCAACCCATTTTACTGTGTTCTTGCATGCCTTTCTGCGTCGAAGTCCAACCGTGCTGTTCTTTGTTCTTCAGTTTGATTTAATCGACCTTCTATCTTTCGCCTGGCATTTTCATTCCTCCTTGAAAGGCTTGATCTTCGCTTCTAAAGCATCTTTATCCCTTAAGATTAAGAAAATGTGCTATTGAAATCGTTAGCATCTCTTGTTCACATATTTGCACACATATCTTTTTAGGAGAAGTCCTGTGAGAGGACTCCTGTTGGGAGGACTTCTGTTGGGAGGACTTTGTTGGGAGGACTCCTGTTGGATTGTAGTGACCAATTTATTATTCTATTTGAAGGAATTATTACTCCCGGAAAAGTGATCCGCCAGGAAACTTGCCTAAGTTTTCACCCTGACCCGACTGGGAATCGAACCCAGGTCCTCTCGCTTGGGAGGCGGGTGCTCTAACCTGAGCTACAGGACTCCATCATATATTGTTATTATTAAGGGCTTTGAGACATCTCAAAGACATGATAAGGCACTATATCAAATGCAAGGATTATTATTATTATCATCAATGTAATTTGATGCTTTTATGCGTTTTATTTAATTATTTGTCTTTTTTTTCACCTTGTAAAAGAATCACAGGCTAAAATCTACAAAGGTAAAATGAATTGTGTTAGTTTACTGAAACACAACAAAACACACAGTTACTACATTTCACTGTTGTTCGGATGCTCTCTCGCTCTTGCTATCGTTCTTGAGACAAAACGATGAGAAAGAGAGAGAGAGAGGTGGGGGTGGGCGAGAGAGAAAGAGAATTGTTTTAATATTGTATTATTGTTTTTTATTATTATTATTTTATTCATGTTATATGTGGAGTCCTGTAGCTCAGTGGTTAGAGCGCTTGCCTTGCAAGCGAGAGGACCTGGGTTCGATTCCTGGGTGGGTCAGGACGAAATGTCGGACAAGTTTCCTTACTCTACATGCACACACACGCCTCTGTTTACCTAGCTGTAAGGAACCCAGCTGTTAGTCAATTGGCGGATCGCTTTTCCGGGGGTAATAATCCCTTCAAAAGAAATAATAATGACAATAATTTTGTCACTCAATCCACGACTGTTTGTGGGACATTGCTGTGACAATTGGCTGCTGTGTTTCGCCCACAAAATATACAGTCAATTCACTTTACAGTATATTCTGTGAAGCGCTTTGAGATCGAAGACGTGATAAGTTGCTGCATCAAATGCAAAGATTATTATTATTTAGTAACTATTTGTTATTAATGTGTTTCTCACACAGAGAACGATATCGTCATTCAGCAATCAAGTGAGTCTTTTTATTGTGCCGCCCGCTCTCTCCATCTCTTTCTCTCTCCTCTCTTCTTCTCTCTCCCTCCCTTTCTCTCCATCCCTCTGTCTCCCCTCTCTCTCTCTCTCTTCCTCTCTCTCTCTCTTCCTCTCTCTCTGTCTCCTCCCTTCTCTCCCCCTCTCTCCCTTCCCCTTTCTCACCGTCCCCCCTCTCTCTTCACGTCTCTCTCTCTCGCTCTCTTCCCCTACTTACTACTGCTAGGTAAACAGAGACGTGTGTGTGTGTGTATGTTTGTGGAATAACAAAACTTGCCCAATGTTTCGCCCTGACCAGCCTGGGAAGCAAACCCAGGTCTTCTCACTTGCGAGGCGAGTACTCTAACCACTGAGCGACAGGACTACAAGTTGTGAGTTGCTGCTGCTGTTGATGTTACTGATGATGTTGTTGGTGATGTTGGTGTGGTTTGTTTTTTCCCGCAGTGACCAGTCTGTTAGAGAAAGATATCGGTGAGAGATTATATGCCAAGTGGGGTGGTGAGGGGGAGCGAGGTGGGGCGGAGGGGGCTTGGAGGGGTTTCCTTGGGGCTGAATTAGCTCCATGTTGAGGGGTTTGCAAACTGAATGTCAGAATCGACTCTCTCTTGCGCTCTCTGTGTCTCTCTGTGTCTCTATTTCTCTCTCTGTGTTTCTGTGTCTCTATTTCTGTCTCTCTCTCTCTCTTTCTCTGTTTCTGTGAAGCGCTCTGGGATGCTACCCTGCGTGAAAGACGCTATATAAATGCAAGTTGTTATCATTGTGTCTCTGTCTCTCTCTCTATCACAATTACTGTGTCTGTCTCTCTTACTATCTCCATCTCTGTGTCTCTCTCTCACTCTGCCACTCTCCCTGTCTGTCTCTTTCTATCTCTGTCTCTCTCTATGTTTCTCTCCATCTCTCTCTCTCTGTCTCTCTCTGTCTATCTCTCTTTCTCTGTGTCTCTGTCTCTCTCACTCTCTCTGTCTGTCCCTCTCTCGTCTCTCTATCTCTGTCTGTTTCTATCTCCATCTCTGTCTCTCTGCTGTGTTTACCTGTACTATGTCTAGTCCTGCAAGTGATTTTTTTTCTTTATCTTTTCCCCCTCAGCCAATTACAAGCTCAAAGACGAATTAGCAAGCACAAGTGAGAACAACAACAAATTACATTTGAAAAGCGCCTTTCACGTTGGGAGGACGTCCCAAGGTGCTAAACAGTCGGGGATCAGGACCAGAGTGTGGGCGGCGGGGTTGGGATGAGGGAGGGCAGAGAGGTAGGAGGGCGGCTAAAGGCATGGTCGAAAAGGAGGGTCTTGAGTCGTGCCTCGAGAGAGGCAAGGGAGGGACCAAAGCGAAGGGATTGTGGGATGGAGTTCCAAAGTATGGAGGCAGAAAGGCAGAAAGCCTGGCCGCTGATGGTAGGGCGGGTCGGTCGGGAGACATGGAGCAGGTCGGAGCCTGCTGAACAGAGGGAGCGGACAGGTTGATAGGGGGTCAGCAGGTAGGAGAGGGCAAGGCCGTGGAGGGACTTGAAAGTAAGGACGAGGATTTTGAATTCTATCCTCTGAGGGATGGGGAGCCATTGGAGCCGGGCGAGGGTGGGGGTATTGGGGACATGGAGCCTGGTGCGGGAGAGGACACGAGCTTCAGAGTTCTGGATGATCTGCAGCTTGTGGAGGGAAGAGTACGCAAGGCCGACAAGGAGGGGATTTCTGTAGTCGAGCCTTGAGGTGACAAATGTGTGTATGAGGGTTTCGGCAGCCTGAGGAGTGAGGCAGTGGCGGAGTCGGGCAATGTTGCGGAGGTGGGGGAAGGCAGAGTGGGCCATGGCATGGATATTGATAGGGAGAGATTGACGATGTCGGAGAATAGAGGGGCGAGGAGGTGGAGCTGAGCTGGGAGGTAAGGAGAGGGGTGGGGATGGGGTCAAGGGAGCGTGCGTTTCATGCTGGATATGGTGGTGAAGGGGAGACAGGTTCGAAGGTGTGGAGGGAGGGATGGGTATGGGTCAGAGTGTGGGGGAGTGGCAGTTGGGAGGGCGGAGGCATCTGATCAGATCCCCTCGATTTTGGACTTGAGGAAATCCAGCATCTCCTCGCAGTCAAGAGTTTGAGGAGAGAATGGGCTAGGCGTGGGAGGGTGGATGGAGGAGCCCGGTAGTGGTGGAGGATAGCAGCCTGGGGTTGTCCTTCGCCTCCAAGATTATCTTGGAGTAGAAGGATGAATTAGCGGAGGCGAGGGCGGAACGGTATGTTTTGATGTGATCCAGCCAGATCTGCCGGTGGACTGTTAGATCAGATTCGAGCCAGATGCATTCAGCGGCCCGCACCTGACCTTAGAGGGAGCGGAGGGCTGGTGTGCCAGGGTGAGCTTCGTGAGCAGGAGGCGGTTCGGGAAGCGAGGAGGGCAAGGGCATCAAGTGGTGGAAAGGAAGTTGCGGAGGAGAGTGACCGAGGAGGATAAATCAGTGCGGGAGGCAGGCCAGAGCGGGAGGCGTTCAGATGACTCCAGGGCAGAGAGGGATTGGGCGGAATTTTTTTTCTAGGGGCGGTAGGAGATGGAGGTGGGTTGGGTGGCAGTGGGGGGGAGAGGGATTGGAGGAGTTAAAGGAGATGAAATGGTGATCAGAGATGGCTTTGCCTGTGATTGTGCGGTCCGAGACACTGAGGCCCGGTGTGATCACCAGGTCAAGTGGGGGTCCATGAACGTGGTTGGCAGAGTGGATGTGGAGGGAGAGGTTAGAGGAGCGGAGAGAGGAGAAGTCCGAGGAGATGGAGTAGGAGGTTCAAGTCGCCGAGAATGAGGAGGCGTTCAGAACAGAGGCAGAAGGAAGCTGGGAGGATGGAGACGTCAGAGATGAAGGTGGAGGAGGTTTGGAGGGTGGTAGATGAGGAGGATTTTGAGGGAAAGATGAGAATATATGGTGTTCGAATGAGGGGAATTACACAAATTACACAGTCACTCCACTTTACAGTGTGTCCTGTGAAGCGCTTTGAGACGCCTTGAAGACGTGATAATGCGCTGTATCAAATGCAAGGATCATTATTAAAAAAAAATTATTTCCAATTAAATTTACTCTGCAGAATCGAAGCTGAGACAAACATTAAAAGGTAAAGAACGTTAGTTTTTTCCTACATCGATTGTGGCTCAGTCGCTCTCTCGCCTCCCGAGTCAGAAGGTTGTGGGTTTAAGCCCCCACACAGACACATGCACAGACACACACACACACACGGGCACACACACGGACACATACACATGCACACACGTATTGGGGAAATCATATAGTCTAAACCGACGTCCCAGCGCAGTGCCGGGGAGAGAGAGAGAGAGCGCTGTATTGTCAGAGATGCCGTCCTTCGGATGAGACGTTAAACCTCACTCCCTTCCTCCCTCCCGTCGGTTCCCTGTTCAGGGCGGATGTTAAAGATCTCCCGCGGCGCTGTCCAGAAAAGAGAAGGGAGTTTGTCTCTCTCTCTCACAGTGTCTGGCTGACAGATAAAAATCACTCATTCGCTTCGCGGCTGTTTGTGGGGACGTGGCTGTGTGCAAAACGAAACGCACAGTCACTACACTTCGCGGAGAAAATCCCGCAAAACGCTTTTAGACGTCCTCCCTCCCTCCCGATGTGATAAGGGTTCTAAATTCTGCCTTTAATAACATTTCAGAAATTGAAGAACATAACAAAGGTGAGAATATAAGTATTTTACAATGTGGCGAAAAAGAGAGGGAAGTTTCCCTCTCTCTCCCGATGTCCTGGCCAACAGTCCCCCAGGTAAAATCGGGTAGCTCTGGTAAGAGCACTCGCCTCGCAAGCGAGAGGACCTGGGTTCGATTCCCGGACGGGTCAGGGCAAAATGTTGGGCAAGTTTGCTAGCTCCACGCACACACATGCCTCTGTTTGCGGAGCTTTAATTAGGAACCTGGTTGTTAGTCAATTGGCGTATCGCTTGTCTAGGTTTAATAAGCCCTCCCACCCAAAAAAAATAATTTGGTCACTCAATCCACGACTGTTTGTGGGATACTGCTCTGCGCAATTGGCTGCCGCGTTTTGCCCATCTGCTAATCAATCGACTAACAAGCAATATTCCTACTTACTACAGTAAACAGAGGCATGTGTGTGTGTTGAGTAAGAAAACTTGCCCAATGTTTCGCCCTGACACGCCCGGGAATCGAACCCAGGTCCTCTCGCTTGCGAGACGAGTGCTTTAACCACTATGCTAAAATAGCTGCATTCTCCGTGAGGTGGAGATTTTAACGTTAAAACAATTTTTTCTTTTCTTAACCCACAGCGAAGCTATTTTCGAAGTCAACCGACCATCCGAAAAAGTTTCCAGGTTTGAGAAATCTCTCTCTCTCTGTGTATAAAATTAAAATAAAATACCTATATCACATAAAGAATGCTAGACAAACAGCGGAGGACTTGCCAGACAGCGCTCTCGATGGCAAGCTATGCGGTTTTAGCTGCTCACACTGCAGCAGTTATCCCTAACACACACTATGGGCTTCCCACCCAAGCCTTGGCTCTTGCCAAACTGCGCCTAATACACTCCTGAATTAGGTAAGCTGGGTGCGTCCCTCCAGGAAGAGAGTGCGCATTTCATTCCAAGAATCTATCTCTGGGATTTCCATGTGTCTCGGTGGGTTGCATAAAATTCTCAATTTGGCTGAGAGACTCTTAAGCACAATAATGGGTTTCTGTGTGTGTCTAACCCAAAAAATGTTGTTTGATGATGATAATAATAATACTTGCATTTGATATAGCGCCTTATCACATCTTCGAGACGTCTCAAAGCGCTTCACAGGATATACTGTAAATTGAAGTGACTGTGTATTTTGTGGGCGAAACACGGCAGCCAATTGTGCACAGCAGCGTCCCACAAACAGTCGTGTATTGAGTGACCACGTTATTATTATTTTTTAAGGGATTATTACTCCCCAAAAAGCGATCCACCAATCGACTAACAACCAGGTTCCTACTTACTGCTAGGTAAACAGATGCATGTATGTGGAGTAAGGAAACTTGCCAAACATTTCGCCCTGACCCGTCTGAAAAGCGAACCCAGAACCTCTCGCTTGCGAGGCGAGTGCTCTAACCACTAAACTACAGGACTCCACAATGTTGATGATGTTGTTGTTTTTCCATAACGTTAAGTATTTGAAGCTGGACAATAATAATAATAATAATCCTTGCATTTAATATAGCGCCTCATCACATCTTCGAGACGTCTCAAAGCGCTTTAGAAGGATACACTGCAAAGTGAATTGACTATATTTTGTGGGCAAAATGTGTGATATCTAACTTTAAGCAATTGCGTTAAAAATAACAGACAAAAAACATTTTTTCATTTTTCAGATCAGAAACTTATGAGAGAAAAACGACAAAACACAGGTCAGACGACAAATCGGAATCAAATCGTTTATTACCAGTTATCGTGTCTCAGTCTGTGTCTCAGTTGCTCACTCTCTTGCCTCTGAGTCAGAAGGTTGTGGGTTCAAATCCCCCCCCCCCACACACACACACGTCAGGGACTCAGAACTCATATAGTCTAAGCTGACGCTCCAGTGCAGCACTGGGTGGAGGAAGAGAGAGAGAGAGAGCGCCATGTTGTCGGAGACGCTGTTCGTTTAGACGTTAAACAACAACAACAACAACAAAATTACATTTATAGTGGACCTCACTCCCTCCTTCCACTTCTGTGCCCTGTTCAGGGCGGACGTTACAAAGATCTCCCGCGGCGCTGTTGGGAAAAGAGAAGGGAGTTTCTCTCGCTCTCTCTCCCAGTGTCCTGACTGACAATCCCAGATAAAATTGCTCGCTTGCTTCATGGCCTCGCCCCACCCTACCTCTCCAACCTCCTAACCCCCTATCAACCCGCCTGCTCCCTCCGCTCAGCCGACTCCGGTCTGCTCCACGTCCCCCGCCCCACCATTGGCGGGAGAGCCTTCAGCCACTCTGCTTCCAACCTCTGGAATTCCATCCCCCAGTCACTCCACCTCGCCCCCTCCTTAGCCTCCTTCAAGTCCAGCCTCAAGACCCTCCTCTTCTACCATGCCATTGGCCACCTCCCCTCCCTTCTCCCCCCAAACCCAGCTCGGGTGTGAAATGCTGTACTCTGTCCAGCGCCTTGGGACGTCCTCCGGACTTGAAAGGCGCAATACAAATGTAATCTTGTTGTTGTTGTTTGTGGGGCGTCGCTGTGAGCAAATCGGCTGCCGTGGTTCGCCAACAAAAGCACACACAGTTGCCACACTTTGCAGTAAATCCAGTGAAACACTTAGTATAACATTTTGATCATATGACAGCAATATTAATTGCGATTGTTTATTGCTTATCCCTAACAACAGAATCCACTAATGAAGAAGACCTCGGTCAGAATTCCTTCAATTCCATAAAAAAAATTCCTTCAAAAAATATATAATAATAATAATTTGGTCGCAATTGGCTGCCGTGTTTCGCCCACAAAATATACAGTCACTATACAGGGTATCCTGTGGAGTGCTTTGACGCATTTCGAAGACTTGAAAAAGGGTTATATAGAATGCAAGGATTATTATTTTTATTAAATTTTGTCATTGTTTGTCTTTTCGGACAGAACCGATTTATGAAAATCCTGGTCAGTTTAATTACGTCATTATTCAAATTATATAACTAGTGTATTATTGACATGATTATATTATAATTGTAATGCGGAGTTCTGTAGCTCAGTAGTTAGAGCACTCACTTTGCAAGCGAGAGGACCTGGGTTTGATTCCCGGGCAGGTCAGAGCGAAACCTTGGTCAAGTTCCTTAACTGCACACACACACGCCTCTGTTTACAAACAGTAAGTAGGAACCCGCTTGTTAGTCGATTGACAAATAAAAATTATTTGATCACTCAATCCACGACAGCTTGTGGGACACTGCTGTGCGCAATTGGCTGTTGTGTTTTGCCCGGAAAATATGCAGTCAATCCACTTTACAGTGTATTCCGTGAAGTGCTTTGAGACGTCTCAAAGACGTGATAAGGCGCTATATCAAAAGCAAGGATTATTATTATTCATAGTTCCCCTGCCCCCAGTCGAAAACGTGTTAATGCGAAAATCTAATTATTTCTAAAAAAAAATCTCCTTTTCCACTTAAGAACTAACTATGCTGAAAGAAAATCTAAACTCAACAGGTCAGTGTCACAAAATCCTGGTTCTCACCTTCAAAGCCCTCCACAACCTTGCTCCACCCTACCTTTGTGACCTCCAAATCCCCTACCAACCAGTCCGTCCCTCCGACCGGCCTGCTTCACGTCCCCCAGCCAGCCCAGCCCCATCATTGGCGGTCGGGCTTTCAGACTCTCTGCCCCCAACCTCTGAAACTCCATCCCACATTCCCTCCCCTCCTTTGCCTCCTTCTGGACCCATCTCAGGACCCTCCTTCGACCGTGCCTTCAGTCACCCTCCTCCCCCCACCTTCCCCGCCTCCACCCCTTATGACTCCAAACCCCAGCTTGGGTCCAAATCCCCAACTGTCCAGCGCCTTGCAAAGTCCTCCTGACGTGAAAGGCGCTATACAAATGGAATTTGTTGTTGATGATGATGTTTCTGAAAAACTAGTTATCACTTGAAACAAAACGTGCATCAATCGTATGTATACAGTCATTCCACTTTACAGTATATTCTGTGAAGCGCTTTGAGACGTCTCAAAGACATAAGGCTCTGTATCAAATGCAAGGGTTATTATTACTATATTACTTATTGTTTGTCAACAGAAGATTTATTGTTCCGCAAAGACAATGGTAAGGCGAATAAATTGGAATGTTTGCCCATGTGCTAAGTAGACATCTCAAACCACTTCACAGGATATACTGTTAAGTGGAGTGATTGTATATGTATTCATGCACAGAAGCGTGCATGAATTTCACCCTCAGGTAAAATTGCTCGCTCGCTTCACGGCTGTTTGCGGGGAAGTCGCTGTGCACAGAGCAAAACGCACAGTCACTACATTTCACGGTGAAAAAATCCCATGAAGCACTTTGAGACTTCCTCCCTCGCAACGTGATAAGGCGCCATATCGAACGCGAGAATTATTATCGTTATTATTTTCCAAAAGCTCCTCAAATATGACATCTGAACTGTATGGAGTCCTGCAGCTCAGTGGTTAGAGCACTCACCTCGCGATCAAGAGGACCTGGGTTCGATTCCCGGGCGGATCAGGGCAAATTGTTGGGGAAGTTTCCTTACTCCACACACAGATACACGCCTCTGTTTACCTAGCAGTAAGTAGGAACCCAGTTGTTAGTCGATTGGCAGATCACTTTTTCGGGGGTAATAATCTCTTAAAAAATTATAATAATTTGATCCCTCAATCCACGACTGTTTGTGGGACACTGCGGTGCGCAATTGGCTGCTGTGTTTCGCCCGCAAAATATACAGTCAATTCATTTTACAGTATATCCTGTGAAGCGCTTTGAGACGTCTTGAAGACGTGATAAGGCGCTATATCGAATACAAGGATTATTATTATTTTGTTTTGTTTTTCTTCCCTAGAAAATCTTGCTCTGCGTAGAATGCTGGAGTCAGTTGGTGAGTAAAGATCCTGATCTGAATGATTGATGGATTGATTGGTTGATGGATTGATTGACACACACAGAAGTGGCCTGTTACTTTAAGATGCAATTAAGACGTGATATATTTTTGTTCCATAAACAACAGAAAAGAAACTCATTCAGAACCAGAAGGGTAATAACCCCCTCCCCCCCACCAGATAATCTCACTTGCTCGCTTTACGTCGCTGTGTGCCAAACTGGGCTTTCCCGCAAGATGCACAGTCACTACACTTCATGGTGAAAATCTCGTGAAGCGCTTTGAGACTTCCTCCCACCTGACGTGATAAGGCGCTGTGTCAAATGAAAGGATTATTATTACATGTTGCCATTATTATATAATATTACAGTGTGCATTCCTGTAACTTAGTGGTTAGAGCACTTGCCTCGCAAAGCGAGAGGACCCAGGTTCGATTCCCAGGCAGGCGCCTTAGGCAAGTTTCCTTACTCCACACACATGCCTCTTTTCACCGAGCCTTGAGTAGGAACCTGGTTGTTAGTCGATTGGCAGATCGTTTTTCCAGGGCTAATAATCCCTTCAAAATAAATAAATAGATGAATAATAAATAGGTCACTCAGTCTACGACTGTTTATGGGTTGCTGCTGAGTGAAATTGGCTGCTGTGTTTCACCCACATAATACAGTCACAGTATATCCTTTGAAGCGCTTTGAGACGTCTCGAAGACATGATAAGGCGCTATATCAAATTCAAGGATTATTATTAATTTATTACCATTATTGTTATTAGATATGGAAGAATGTCTCAAACATTATGGTAAAGGACACAGCTTTCTCCCCACTCTCTCTCCTTCTCCCCTCTCTCTCTATCCTTCTCTCTCTCCGTCTCTCTCTCTGTCTGTCTGTCTCCCCCACACCAGGCTCCCGTGAGTTTAGAATTGAGACGTCTTGAAGACGTGATAAGGCGCTGTACCAAATGCAAGAATTATTATTAATCTTGTAATTATTTGTCGATTGTTTTACCTCTCAGATGAACAAAATAAGATGGACACGGGTAAAATTATAATTTAAATTATTATTAATAATAATTATTATTATTGTCATTGAATTGTTACTTTATTTTACTTGGATCATTTTTCTTCAGAGACGGATGTCCTTATTCAACAGAGCAGTGAGTTGAAACCATTTCTTTTTCAATAATGAATGCTATTTTTTAATTCATCCATTCGCTAAATATCAAAATGTTCAACATCGCCAAGAAAAACTGTTTATACAGAGACAGAGTGAGTGAGAGAGAGAGACACACACAGACACCGTCAGAGAGAGATAAAGAGACCAAGAGAGACATAGAAGGACAGACTGAGACAAAGAGACAGATTGACAGAGACACACAGAAAGGAGGACAGAGAGACACAGAGTGAGACGGACCGAGAGAAAGAGGAATTATTATTAATATGCGATTAATTTTTCTCCCTCAGTGAAAAAAATCATTCAAAAAGACAACGGTAAGAACTTAAGTAGGAATGATATTATTTATATCGACTGAAAACGAATATAATAATAATCCTTGCTTTTGATACAGCACCCTATCACACTTCAAAGAATTGTTTTGCATGTGTATATGTGTGTGAGAGAGAGTTTCGTGTGTGCATGTATTATTTGTACTATTATTCATTTATTGCCTATTTTTTCAGAAATTGGGCAACTGAAACAAATTATCGAATCAAAAGGTCAGAAAGCAAAACAAAAACAAGAGATTGGAATAATTATTATTATTAAATAATATAACACAGTAAAAGCTTGTGTTTTTGTTCTCAGAATCTGAAGCTTTTTATCGAAATCAAGAACTTAGCGGTAAAGCAGTTTAAACGGTGTCAATTTTCCTTGCAGTTATTCCATCCAGATAAAATCCTCGTCACCCTAATAATAATAATAATAATGATAATCCTTGCATTTGATACAGCACCTGATCATGTCTTCGAGACATCTCAAAGCGCTTCACAGGATACACAGTAAAGTGAATTGACTATACATTTTGTGGGCAAAACACGGCAACCAATTGCAAGCACAGTGTCCCACAAACGGTCGTGAATTGAGTGACCAAATTATTATTGTTATTTTTTTGAGGGATTGTTATTAGCCCCAGAGAAGTGATCCGCCAATTGACTAACAACTGGGTTCCTACTTACTGCTAGGTAAACAGAGGTGTGTTGAGTAAGGAAAAGTGCCCAACATTTCACCCTGCCCGGGAATCGAACCCAGGTCCTCTCGTGTGTCTGGCGAGTTCTCTAACTACTGAGCTACTTCACATTTGACACACCGCCTTATCACGTCAGGTGAGAGGAGATGATAAGGTGTTGGGTCGACTGCAAGGATTATTTTTATTGTTATTTCTTTCTTTCTCTTTCTGCAGAGAAATTACTATTTGAAACAAATCAAGGTCCGTTTTCTTCTTAATCTATTTTCCTGTGATTTATCGAAACCTTTTACACTTTGTTGATGTTGTTTATTATCAGAATTGAAAAATGTCACATTAAAGTTAAAAGAAACAGGTTAGAAAAATAATCAAACTTCATTTTGGATAAAAACTTGAGTTAAAAAGTTTCAAATTGTCTAGACAAATAGCATGTTAACCTTTTTTTTAAATCATGACATTTATTATTTTAAAAACACAGAGAAAGCACTGGATCAGAAAGAAAAAGGTGAAATTATAAATCATTATTATGATTGGATTCCAATATATTAATCATATTTATTAAAAGTATCAATCGGCATTATTAAAGTTAGTAATAAATAGTATTGTTACTAATTATATCTACAGAACTTGACGAAAGGGATAAAATCAGTGGTAAGTGCTAAAGTATAATTGCTGGATTGAGAAAAAAAAAGCAGAAGTAATTTACCGAGTTACATACAATTTGTTGAACAGCATTAAGTAACATAAAGATCTGTTGGGAAATGAGAAGGGAGTTTCTCTCTCTCTCTTTCTCTCTCCCCCGGTGTCCTGGCTGACAATCCCCCAGATAAAATCGCTCACTCGCTTCACAGCTCTTTGCCGGGCACGTCGCTGGGCGCAAAACGCACAGTCACTACACTTCACGGTGAAAAATCCTTTTCATATTGGAGTGGAGTCCTGTAGCTCAGTGGTTGGAGCACTCGCCTCGCAAGCGAGAGGACTTGGGTTTGATTCCCGGGCGGGTCAGTGCAAAATGTTGGGCAAATTTCCTTACTCCACACACACACACACACACACACACACACACGTGCCCCTGTTTACCAAGCAATAAGGAGCAACCTGGTTGTTAGTCAAATTGGCGGATATCAAACCCAAGGATGATGATTATTATTATTATTATTATATTAGCTGAAGAGGTTCCACAGATTATGAAAGAAAAAGGTGAACAAACAATTATCAAATGATATCAGAATGCGCTGGGATTATTATTATTATTATATTGATGTCAGAGCCTGGCTCAGGTGCCCGCTCTCTCGCTCTCTCGCTTCCGAGTTAGAAGTTTGTGGGTTCGAGCCCCCGCTCTCACACACGCGCATACATCAGGGACTCAAAAGTCATATAGTTTAAGATGACGCTCCAGAGCAAAGCTGGGGGGAGGGAGAGAGAGAGAGAGAGAGAGAGAAAGCGCCTCATTGTCGGAGACGCCGTCCGTCGGATGAGATGTTAAATCTCACTCACACCCTCCCTCCTCATCTGTGCCCTGTTCTGGGCGGTCGATAAAGGCGTTATGGCTATTTTTTAATAACAATTTGCTGCCGCCTTTCGCCCACAAAATTTACAGTCAATTCACTTTACGGTGTATCCTGTGAAGCTCTTTGAGATGTTTCGAAGATATGATAAGGCGCTATAGCAAATGCAAGAATTACTACTATTATTATATGATCATTTTTCAACTGTTATTAATGCTGCAGCAATGTTCTCAGAAGTTAAACGGAGTGGTGAGTTTCACTCACCCAACGACAAACAACAAATGGCATATACACATCGCCTTTCACGTCGAGAGTACAGCCCAAGGCGCTGGACAGTCAGGGATTTGGACCCGAGCTAGGGGTTGGAATCAGGAGGGGGCGAAGGGCAGGAAGGGTGGGGGGCTGAAGGCACGGTCTTGAGACGTTGGTAGGGGGTTAGCCAGTCACAGAGGGATGAGCAAGGCCTTGGAGTGCTTTGAAGGTGAGGACCGCGATTTTGAACTGTATCCTCTGGGGGATGGAGAGCCGGTGGAGCCGGGGAGGGTGGGGATCATGGGGTCATGGAGCCTGGTGTGAGAGGACATGGGCTGCAGAGTTCTGGATGATCTGCAGTTTGTGGAGGGAAGAGTTGGGGAGACCGACAAGCAGGAAGTTGGCTTAGTCGAGCCTAGACGTGATGAACAAAACGTACAGTCACTACACTTCACGTTGAAACAATCCTGTGAAGCGCTTTGAAGCACAAGGATTGTTATTATGGATTAATTTTTATTTCCATGAAGTTTATCTTCAACCTTTTGATTTGTTTACAGAGAAAGAATTAGCCTTAAAGACAGCAGGTATCATCAATTTTTGTAATCAGATTTTATAATGTGATATATGGAGTACTGTAGCTCAACAGCAACAACAAAATTACATTTATAGAGCGCCTTTCACGTTGGGAGGACGTCCCAAAGCTCAGTTGCTTGAGCGCTCGCCTCACAAACAAGGGGACCTGGGTTCGATTCCTGGATGGTTCAGGGCGAAACCTTAGGCAAGTTTCCTTACTCCACACGCACACACACACACGCCTCTGTTTACCTAGCAGTAAGTAAGAACCCGGTTGTTAGTCGATTGGCAGATCGCTTTTCTGGGGGTAAAATCTCTTCAAAATAAAAATAAATAAATAATAATTTGGTCACTCAGTCCACGACTGTTTGTGAGACACCGCTGTGGCAACTGGCTGCCGTGTTTCGCCCACAAAACACATAGTCGTTACACTTTTTACTGTGTATCCTGTTGCTTTTCCAGCAAGGATTATCCTACTTGTTAGTTAGGGCTTTGGCTTGTATGGTTAACAAGAGCTGAGTGGGATGACTCCCTGCCCCCAGTGACTGGTCTGCCCTTCCAGATCCTGCCGATGAGCCAGGCTGGGCTGTGCTGGCATCAGCAGTGCCCTGGAATACTAGGGTCCCCGCCTGTGTTAACTGACATCAGTCAAAATTGTACACAACTTGGCATGTTGACGAATCTCTCTTTTTTTGGGGTGAACTCAGAACTTAGAATCTGCATGGAAAATGTACAGAATACGGGTAAGAGACAGAGAGTTTCACTCGCGCTCTCGCCTCCGAGTCAGAAGGTTGTGGGAATGAGCACCCCCCTCCCCCCCCCTACACGCGCACACACACACACACACACACACACATGTGGACACGGAACCCGTACACTGTAAGACAACGCTCTAGCTCAGTGCTGGGGTGAGAGAGATGACGCCATCCTTCAGATGAGACGTTAAATAGACTCACACACACACACACATACATATTATCTCAAGCACACACTCACGCCTACATACACTCATGCACAGACTCACTCTCACCCACACACACTCTCAGTCTCTCTTGCCCATATACACACACACACTCGCTCTCTCAAGCCTCCCTCTCTCACCTGGTTCAAAGTCTGTCTGCAAAAAGTTATTGCACTTTCAGTCATCCAAGACATTACACCTCGCTCACTCCCTCCTCGTCTGTGCCCTGTTCAGGGCGGACATTAAAGATCTCCCATGACCCTGTCGGGAAAAGAGAAGAAAGTTTCCCTCTCTCTCTCCCGGTGTCCTGGCCGACAACCCCCCCTGATAAAATCGCTCGCTCGCTTCACGACTGTTCACAGGGACTGTGTCGCTGTGCGCAAAACCAATCGCACAGTCACTACACTTCACGGTGAAAAATACCACAAAGCGCTTTGAAATGAGGCTTATTATCATGAGAATGTTATATGTCAAAGAAATTAATCTGTTCTTGTTGCAAAATAGAGGAAGCCTTTGCTGAGAAAGACAGAGGTAGATTTTAAAGATCTCCCGCGACACAGTTGGTGACCTGACTGACAATCCCCCAGATAAAATCGCTCGCTCGCTTCACGGCTGTTTGTGGGACGTTGCTGTGCGCAATTGGCTGCCTCGTTTCGTCCACAAAATATACAGTCAATTCACTTTACGGTGTAACCTGTGAAGTGCTTTGAGACATCTCGAACACATGATAAACCGCTACATCAAACACCAGGATTATAATTGTTAAAAGGGAAGTGGACAAGCATAAGGGGGAGAGAGATTTGAATGGGATGATATATAGTATGTATAAAAATGATCCTTGCATTTGATATAGCGCCTTATCACGTCTTCGAGAAGTCTCAAAGCGCTTCACAGAATATACTGTCAAGTGAATTGATTGTATATTTTGTGGGCGAAATGCGGCAGCCAATTGCGCACAGCAGCGTCCCACAAACAGTCATGGATTGCGTGACCAAATCCTTATGATCTTTAAATTATTTTTTGGGAGGGATTATTACCTCCGGAAAAGCGATCCATCCGCCAATCGACTAACAACCGGGTTCCTACTTACCGCTAGGTAAACAGAGACGTGCATGTGGAGTAAGGAAACTTGCCCAACGTTTTGCCCTGACCTGCCCGGGAATCGAACCCAGGTCCTCTCGCTTGCGAGGCGAGTGCTCCAACCACTGCGCTACAGGACTCCATTTAAATGGTTATTTTAAACCTTTTCGACTGTGCCTTCAGCCGCCCTCCTCTCTCTGCCTTCTCTCATCCCAACCCTGATTCCCCCCCCGTCCCCCCACCCCCACACTCAGGTCCAGATCCCTGACTGTTCAGCTCCTTGGGACATCCTCTCGACGTGAAAGGCGCTTTACAAATGTATTTTTGTTGTTACATTGAAAGCCAATCAGGCTTGCGTGAAACATGTAGTGAGAACATTAAAGCGGGTCGAGATTTTGCGTGGGGTAAATAATGAACTTGAAATAAATTCTCTTTGGCAGAGATGAGATATCTCAGTGAGAAACTGCAAATCACAGGTTTATAAACTTTTGCTACCTCCTTCCTCTAACTGTTCCTCTTATGAACCCTTGTTATTATTGCAAGCTTAAATCTGAATTGTGTTTATATTCAACAGAATCTAAGTTGGTTCAAGCAGAGAAAGGTATTCAATGTGTGTGTGTGCGTGTCTGTGGGTATGTGTGTCTGTGTGCGTGTGTCTGTCTCTGTGTCTCTCTCTCCCAGTATCATGGCCGACAGTCCCCCAGATAAAATCGCTTGCTCGCTTCCCGCGAAGCGCTTTGAGGCTTGTTAAAATTGGCCACGTGAAGTGGACCACTGTTGATGCTATTAATTCAGATTCATGATCATTTCCAGAACTCAAAAGAAGCAATGGTGAGGCATGTCAGATGATTCGTTGATTTATTTTGTGATCAGCCTGACACGCGTACACACGCAGAAAGCCGTCACCGTGATCATCGCTTGCGTGGCGAGTGCTCTAACCACTGAGCTACAGGATTCTGATTATTTATGATTAATATTGCAACGATTCGTATGGAATGTGATGTATTGATCTTCGCGATCGTCAACAAATTAGATTTTTGTTTTCCAGGGTCAAAACTTGCAGGCATCCCTATAGGTAGAAGATTTATGTGACTTAGTATATAAGTTCCTCGCATTATCGTCTGTGTGTGTGTGTGTGAGAGAGTGAGTGTGTGTGTGAGAGTGAGTCTGTGTATGTGTGTGTGTGAATGTATGTGTGTGAGTGTGTCTGTGTATGCACACGTGTGTGTGTGTGAGAGTGAGATTGCGTGTGAATGTGAGTGTGTATGTATGTGTGTGAGAGAGTGTGTGTGTGAGCGTGCGTGTCTCAGTTGCTCGCGCTCTCGCCTCTTGAGTCAGTACTGGGTGGAGGGACGGAGAGTGCCACAGTGTCGGAGACGCCGTCCTTCTGATGAGACATCAAACCTTACTCACTCTCTTCCTCCCTGTCTGTGCCCTGTTCAGGGCGGACGTTACGATCTCCCGTGGCACTGTTGGGAAAAGAGAAGAGTTTCTCTCTCTCTCCCGGTGTCCTGGCGTACAATCCCCCAGATAAAATTGCTCACTCGCTTTATGACTGTTTTCGGAGATGTCGCTGTGCGCAAATCAAAACGTATAGTCACTACACATCAGTAAACAGGTCTCGGTGTTGTGTACAGTTTGTGTGATAATTGTTTTTGATGTGACATTTGATCGCTTTCAGGGTGGAATATGCTGAATGTGAAAAAAGGTAATTATATCATTATTATAATTACTTGTTGCTGTTATCGTTGATTCAGGTGACTGTTTAAGATCTCTTGTAATCAATTGTTGATCTGCCATCGATTAATGTATTGTTGATTATCAATTGATTGATCAGTCGATTACTGATGGATTGCTGATTAATTCTTGATTCGTTGATTGATTAATTGATCAATTGATTAATTGACAATCAATTAATTGTCTGTTTATTAATTGATTGACTGACTGACTGGTTAATTATTGAATGATTGTTCATTCAGTGATTATTAATTGTTGATTGACTGACGATTGATTGCTTGGTTGGTTGGTTGATTGATTGAGATTGATGGATGGATGGAGGGAGGGAGGGAGGGAGGGAAGGACTGGCAACTGGTTAATTGGTAATCTATTGATTGATAATCAATTAATTGATTATTTATTAGTTGTTGATTGCTTGGCTGACTGACTGATTGACTGGCTGATTAAATAATTATTGATCAATTATCGATTGATTATTGATTGATCGATTTTTGCTCTCGCAGCCTTGGTGAAGCTGGACGGAGAGAGCTCTGACCCCCGTTTCCTGGTGTCTGTGGACGGCTCTTTTGCAGCCTGGGCAGCGGGCGTACGAGCGAGCAGGGAGGAAGGAGGGAGAAAGGGAGGAGGGAGAGTGCAGGGACACGGGACCTGGAGCGTGTGGGGCACAGAACCCCTCGGGCATGGCAGACATCGCTGGGAGGTGTGGGTAAACGAAGGCACGGTGTGGACGGTGGGGGTGGCAAAGCGCCCCCTGGCGCTGACGAAATTCGGCCGAGCCGGGAAAGAGGAGGGCTACTGGGCTGTGATGCTGTGGAATCTGATGGAGGCAGAGGGTAGGGAAATGGAGGATGAGGCGAGGCACAAGCTGGTCGGAGGTTGGAATGGGCAACCGCGCTCGCTAGGCACCAGCAATCTCCTCCTCCACCATGCCACCCGTCTGGGCATCGCGCTGGACTCCGAGTCTGGGACACTTCACTTCTATAATCCCAGCGACATGTCTGCAGCCCCCATGGCCTCCCTGACCCCCCACTTCACTGGCCCCGTCTACCCTCTGTTCAGGCTGTGGGTGGGCACAGCTTCCAACGCCACTATCTCCATCGTCTAGCTCTCTCTCCAGCTCTGTTGCACTCTCTCTCCTTTCCCTCTCTCCACTTCTCTCTTTCCTTCCCTCTCTTTCTGTTGTCGAGCTCTCTCTGTCCTTCCCTTCTTCTCCATTTATCTCCCCCTCCCTCCATTTCTCTCCACCCTTCTTTCTCTCTTCATCCTCTCTTGCTCTCCATCTCCCCTCTCTCCCTTCTTCCTCTTCTCTCCCCCTCTCTTTGTCTCTCTACCACCCTCTCTCGCTCTTTCCCTTCCTCCCCTCTTTCCACCACTTTCTCTGTTCCCTCTTTCGCCTGCCCCTTCCACTCTCCTTTTCTTGCTCTCTCTCATTCGCTTCCCTCCCCCTCACTCCTCCCTCGCTCTGTTCCTCTTCCTCCCCCTTTCCTATTTCTTAAATAAAAATACAAGACTCACACACTCTCACTCACTCATTCACGTATACACTCACTCACTCACTCTCACACACACTCACTCCCTCTCACTCACGTACACACTCACTCAATCCCTCACTCGCACACGCTCACTCCCACAAACTCACTCTCACTCACGTGCACACTCACTCAATCCCTCACTCGCACACACTCACTCCCACACACTCACTCACGCACATTCGTACTCACTCAATCCCTCACTCTCATGCGCACACTCCCTCATTCACGTACACACTCACTTAATCCCTCACTCTCATGCGCACACTCCCTCATTCATGTACACACTCACTCAATCCCTCACTCACACCCACACACTCACTCTCATTCATGTACCCACTCACTCAGTCTCTCACTCCCTCACTCTCACACTCACTCGCTCACTCACAGACTCGCTCCCTCACTTCCCCCAGTGCGTCTAATCGTCTCGAGACCTGAACTCAGTTGATTTAGTGATAAATAGCTTATTGTAACTAAGTGATGTCCCTACTCAGTGCTGTTATGTTACGTGCTGTGTACGAGGAAAAGACAACATGACATTTGTTTCAAACCGCAAAGCAATTAATCATCAATAAACAGCCTCCGCTAACACACCGGAAAATTGTTTCACTGCCTTTGTTCGTGTCAAGCACACTGTGTGTGTGTGCGCGCATACATCTGTGTGCGTGAGTGTGTCTGGGATTACGCAAAGCAGAGTTCGTTCCTCCAGGGGGAAGAGAACATGTGCAACACACGATGCAAATGGAGGCCATTTGCTTTGGGGACTGTTAAGTACAGTGATGAGTTTGCACGCATGTCAGACACTTGAAAAAAAATGCCCAGCTGTTTTGCAGCTCTGTGTCCTCAAACCCTTTTCCACTCAAGTGAACCATTCACACAAAGCACCAAAATCCTTTCCCCTCTAAAGGAATGCTGTCACTGAGCGTTCCTTGTGTGATGCAACGCAAGTGTAATACAGTGTATTGAAACCAAAGGCCGAAACGTTAATCTCTGGTTTGTAAATGTAAAATTTCGAGAGAATCAAAAGGAAAGACAAAGTTGGGCGCACAGCATGAAGGGCGAGATGTTGTTTAATAAATGCTTCAGGTAAGAAAAAAAAGCTATTTACAAATGTGCTTACAGTACAGGGCAGATCATTTCAACTTTACATAATTTCATACAGTGATTTTGAATCACTGTTAAGTGTGCCGATCGGTTGGTCGGTCATTGACAGCCGCACTCTCGTACCACCATGTTCTCGTGGTGCCTCAGGACAACCGCCCCCTTCTCGATGTACAACAAGCTCATTGGGTTCATTTTGGTTGGAGCACAACAGGGTGATGGCACCAGAGTCGGGTGATGGAACTTCAACAGGCTCTGAAACCGAATCAAGAACAGAAGTGGGTCAGGTGAGCTGAACGCTTTCAAGTGAGTTTGTTGCACATTTCATCTTGGGTTTTATTTCTCTCTTTCACCAGCTTTCTCTCCTCTTTCTCTCTTGAAGGTGCCATGGAATATGATCATAATCCTTGTACTTGATACGGCATTTGATATGGTGCCTCATCACGTCATTGAGACGTCTCACAACATTTCACAAAATATGCTGTAAAGTGACAGCCATTTCCACAAAATAGTGTCCCACAAACAGTCGTGGATTGAGTGACCAAATTTTTTAAAAAAATTCTAAAGGGATTTTTACCCCCGGAAAGCAATCCGCCAATCGACTAACAACCAGGTTCCTACTTACTGCTAGGTAAACAGGCGTGCGGAGTAAGGAAACCTGCCTAAGGCTTACCCTGCCTGGAAATCCAACCTGTCCTTTAGATGAGCTGTAAAACCATGCCTGCCTTTTCAGGTAGGTGTTAAAGATCCTGTGGCACTATTCGAAAAGAGAAGAAAAGATTTTCCTGACGACTTAGCCAACAGTCCCTCAGACAAATTGATCATTTTTGCTGTTGTGGGATGTTTCAAGCGCGCAAATTGGCTTGTATGTTTGCCAACAAATTCAATCGCCATACAGAAATTTTAGGAAACTCTTTTGGGATGTTCTTGATATTGAGAGACACTGCATGAAATAAGTGGACAATGATGATTATGATAGAATTTACTCGGGAAGCACTGCGAGACATTTGGGTTGTGCAAGTTCTTTCTTCAGGACAAGCCCTCCCACTTCTCACTCCCAACCCCCCCCCCCCCCCCCCCCCCACACCCAATATTTGTTTTGATGTACGGGAGGGCAAGGGCAGGGACCCTACCTGCATGTAAGCGTGGTTGGTGGGTTTGGCAGCCTCTCCGGATGGGGATGGACACTCTCCCTCGCAGCGGAACGCGTTGTAGATCTTTGGGAAGATGACCCAGGAGCCCCAGCCGATCTGACCGAATTTGATCTCAAACTTGATCCTGCGGCACAGGCTGGAGTTTGTGGGTCGAGCGTGCCGGTACTGCCGTTTACCTCTGTCGCCACCCATAGCCCGGGCGCTCTTGGGTCTCCGTGCCACCTTCCTGGTCCGCTTTTGCCAAGGCTCTTTCCCCAAGGGGATGTCCAGATGTCGCTTCCGCACGTACTTCGACTCCTCTGCGTCTTTCAGCAGCGAGGAGATCTTGGAATGACCCCTCTCTGGTTTTCTGGAGAACACGACCAGCAATGCTTTCTCGTTGGCTGCAGCCTTGCTTTCTTCCAGTGCCCTCACCACACCGGTGCTGTCCGATCGCCTCCGCCTGCACACCGGGCTCTCCGGCTGCCGGGAATCGGCACCGGAGGCGTTCACACCGGAAGCTTTCCGGCCCACCCACCCGCCCAGGATGCTGGTGACGTTGTAAACGGCACAGTCGGAGGCATCTTCCAGGACGGAGTCGGGAGGGAAGGAGCCCAGGTAGAGGCGTGGGCGGCGTTCTGACTGGTGGTAGATGTCTAGCATGGAGCAGGACTCGGAGAAGGACGGCAAGCTGATCCGCAGCTCGGCAAATTGAAGGTTGTCGTCTGGCAGCAGCATGGACAGGTCGAAGGTGATGACCCAGCGATTGCCGTTGTGGTGAAAACCTGAAAAGTAGTAACACACAGGAGCCATTTGACCACAAAAATGTACAGCTTAGAGATGATGTGATTCCAAGTCTTGCAATGGGAATGGATGGACTGTGTAGGTGGGTTTCCATGGAATTCTAAGTTTGGTTTGGATACTCTTAAGCATGGCACGAGTGTCCGCGTGTGTTAAGACATCCAGCTGCCTTAAAAAAAAGTGGGTCTTGAACCCACAATCTTCTGACACGTCTAATTTTCAGTTTAAACATCCTAACTGATTGGGTCTCAAGTAGTGCCGTGGGATCTTTAACGTCAAAACCTGAATAGGCAGACGGTTTAATGTCTCATCCGAAGGATGGCATCACTGACCGACAACAACATCACAGTCAGCAGCTGACTGGAGTGGGGGAACTTGACAGAAATTCTGAAGGGCTAATGAATAGGGAATAGGGGGGAAATTATTATCTTTGTATGAGATGAACTGGAAAAGGGCAATCTTAGTATTGTGGGGGGGGGGTGCTAGGGTGGGGGGGGGTATCAAGGGAGCAACTCGAAGGCAGTTTCTTAACTCAGGTTATTGTGGTGTGCAATGGAATTCATTAACACAACAATAATAATATAACCCTTGCATTTGATATAGCGCCTATCATTGAGACATATCAAAGGACTTCACAGGATACCCTGTAAAGTTGATTGACTGCGTGTTTTGTGTGTGAAACGCGGCAGCCAATTGCGCACAGCAGTGTCCTACAAACAGTTGTGGATTGAGTGACCACGTTTTTTTAAAGGGATTAATTATCCCCAGAAAGTGATACACTAATCGCCTAACAACCATGTTCTTAGTTACTGCTAGTAAACAGAGACGTGTAGAGTAAGGAAACTTGCGTAAGGTTTCACCCTGCCCTGAAATCAAACCTGGGTCCTTACGCCGCGGGACTCCACTCAACTACACAAGTTATTATTGAGGCTGGATCAATAGAGACTGAACATTACAGTATATCCTGTGAACCACTTTGTAACTTGCTCTTGATGTGACAGGCACAATTTCAAATAGAAGGATTTATTATTATTATTATTATTATTATTAATCATTTAAAAGGGAACCAGATGAGCAAGAGCCATGTAAAAGATAGGGCCATAGTGTCTGAAAGTTGGGATTTCTTTCTAGTTAAAAACGGTTTAAGACAGTAAAGAGCTGTGATGTAGGTTCTGGTTGGACTGAACTCAGAAGGAGGTTTTTTTTTGTGTGTTTGAAATTAAAACAAAGGGATGGAGGACAAAACGCGAAGAAGGGCAACAATATAGACTTAATCTTATTAAGTCTGTATCCAATAAGATCCGGCAGACAGCAGACTGGGAGGGAACCAAATGCTGCAATACACATTGGGTCAAGTAGACAGATCAGATCCCAGAGAATGAAGGTCCCTAAATTAGCCTTTTCACGCGTTTGATCCTCTGGACAATCGCAATTCAAAGGGAAGCGATGTGGATTACAGCAGTTTCTGGCTGTCTGACAGCTCCTGACTGGATCAAAACACCGAGTAAAGAGAATGGTTTTATATACCCACAATATATATATATATATATATAACCAATTTATTCCCCTATATATATATATATGTGTGTGTGTGTGTGTTCATATATAAAAATGGAATTAACATTTCCCCCTTATTTCCCCATATGCAGTATACATATACACACACACATATATAATCAAATCCTAGAGCATTAAGGTCCCGAAATTAGGCTCATATATATGGAAAAATAATATATATTATATATGCACACATATACTTACTTATACACACACACACACACACACACACACACACACACACATATAGTGGCATTCCCATAAAAAGGGAATACGTGATATATATATACATATACATAATTTCCCCATATATTTTTATATACAGATTATTATTATTTCCCCTTCCTCTCGATAACAGAGTAAATAACATTTTTGTGAGTCTTTTCTTTTTTTTTCTGTTGAGAGAAGAGGGAGGGAAGGGAGAGAGAGAGAGAAAAAAAAAAAAAATTTTTTTTTGGGGTGGGGGGGTGGAGGGGAGGGGTGGAAGGATGGGAACAGAAACACACACGAAAAAATGAAGAAGAAAAAAAAAAAAGTCCTTACTTTTCGCCATCAAACTCCTGACGGTGTCAGCCTCGGGCAGGAGCGGCTGCTCCGGGGGGGAGACTGGGCTGTGCTCCCCGGGGCTGTAGGTGCGGTACAGACGGACCATGTAAGAGGGCAGTGGGTTCAATGTGATGTTCAGGGCTTCCAGTCTCCGGATGAGAAGAAGAGCCACGACGTCCCTCTCGGTGCCGGGGCTCCCGGTGTCCAGCAGTCGCCGGGCAGGGTACCCCCGCACCGCCACAACAGGGAGGCTGAGCAGCAAGAGGGGCATCTCCCACAGCAGCTGCATCTTGTCCTGGTTCCCATCCCTCCCCACATCCACGCCGGTGCGTCTTTATACCCCCGAGAGGGTCAGGTCACACACAAGAAAGGTACCGCTCACGGCAATCCCCGACACTTTGGCTCAGACACATCGAAACCCATTATTTTGCTAATGAGCCCCATTCATTTGCTGGGTATTTGATGACAGAGAGAAGGATGGAGGGAAATAGTTTTTTTTTTTTTTTGCAACAACACCCCCCCCCCCAAAAAAAAAACACACACAAGACTAACAATGGTGGGGGGCAAAGCCTTATTCAGACTGGGGTACCAAGTGTGCACAGTCAACTTGTGGAAACATAGTGGAAATGTGAAATAAGAGACTGGGGACAAAGGGTGATGGACAGCAATAAGGAGCAAAAACTGAAAGTGAATTGAAATCAATTTGCGCGCAGTTAAAAGGAACGCGGTCCGGATCGTACGTAAGATCGATGGAGATGCAATCTTTCCCGTAGTCCACTCTGAGAATCCCTGGTGTACATACACACCGATGCACCTCTGATGTTGTGCCCTCCTGGCAGCTTGTAGTTTTATAAAAACAATAATGATAATTGATAATAATCCTTGCATTTGATATAGCGTCTTATCACGTCGTCGATCTGATAAAATAATAAAATGATATTAATTTGGTCTCTCAATCCAGGACTGATTGTGGGATACGACAGTGGGACACCCCACCCCCCTCAAAAAAAAGTTAATATTATCTTAAAATTGGCCACCAATACAAACTAAAACTCAAAGGAAATATGCTCTTCGCTGCTCCTTGTATTTTATAAGCTTTAAATTCAACAGTGCGGGTAAGGATTTAAACGCAAAGTTGGCTTCCCTGTAAACAAAATACCAACAACCGCATGTTAAAGCATTTTTATAAAAATTGTTTCACATTGTATTATCACTGTCATTTATTGTATGGTTGTTTGTGAGATATTGCTGCACTCAAACTGACTGCCAAGTTGGCCTACAAAGTCCACAAACATTACACTTTACACTTCCTGTGAAGCACTTTGAGACATCTCATCAACGACTTGAAAGAGGCTAAATCAAATTTCAAGGATTATTATTACATTAAACCTGAGATTTAATTTACACAGTAATTTTTCCGCCAAATGGATGTGAATTAAAATTCCTTTAAACGTCCTTCAGCAAAGTTAGTAACTTTTTAGTTAAGTTGATAAAGTTTTAGTGAAGTCTTAAATACCAACCTGTCTGCTGGGTTAGTTGTGCTCTCACCTCTTGAGTCAGATGGTTATGGGTTCCCGAAGTAGACTGGATGGCAGATAACACTGCAATACTTGATACATCAACAACTTGCATTTATTAAAGCGCTGTTCACACAGGGTAATGTCTCGGCGTGCTATTGGGTGGACAAGCAGAACAAAAGACCTTGTAAACCACAGCTAAGCTTGGACTTTAAGACACAGGTTGGCATGTTAACGTTTGAAATAGTTTGGACATTTGCACCAAATGGTCTCTTACAATGGTAAGCAGACAACATCAACAATTTGCACTTTCTAGTAGGTGGAACGTCTTAACATGCTTTACATAAGAGCATATGAACGAATCAGCTTTCTAAATAATAATCTTTGCAGTTGATATATAATGTCATAATGTCTCAAAGGGCTTCACTGATTATTGCTCCAAAGTGTGCAGGCAAATGTGGCAGCTAATTTGAATACTGCAAGGTTTGACAAACAGCCATGAAGTGAATGATCATTTAATCTAGTCAATTTATTATTAATTATAATTATATTATTGATAATATGGTGGATTGTCGGCCGGGACACCAAGAGAAACTCTCTTCTCTTTTCGAGCAGTGGGCTGGCATCTTAAGCAGAAGGGAACTCGGTTTAATGTCTCATCCCAAGGGCAGCACCTCCGACAATGTGGAGCATGGCTCCGAGATGCTGCCCCATATGAAGGGCGCGGTATGAATGCAAGCTGTTGTCGTTGCTCCCCAACACGCCTCTGGAAGGAATAATCAAGCCAGACTTTTAAAACAAGTGAACTCACAGACACTGAATAGCCTGGGTCCCTCCATGCTGGTGAATAGGGGGACAATTTTTATAAATAAAGCACTTTATATTGCGTGTATTTTGCAGGTGGCACATATCAATCAGGTCTTTATTGCAGCACCTGCTGTGCTAGATTTTGTTCCAAACTGTGTGCGGGCGCATGCGGGGTGATTGGACCAGGAGAACCCAGGCTGAACACAGTCACTGGGAAGCACTGTGCACACCCCCAGCTCCCGGGATCATCAACAACCCGCAACTTCTACACGCAAACCCTGACACTAGCAGCGGAACCCGGTGAGTTAATGTGTGACTACATTCTCCTCTGTTAAAGGCACCAAAAAAAAGAGATTATCTTAAGGTTGTGGATAAAGCCACGAGGAAACCCAGAAACCGCACTGGGGTCGTTTTTGAAAGCTTGTTGCATATTACCAGGAAGCTTTTTTATTTCAAATAAAAGAGATAATTTTCACACGCAGGGCTATTATATTAGAAGATGTTAAACCTCAGGTGGAAGTGCCCTTATTTTAGTGACAGTGGAGTCACTTTATTTTGCTCAGATTGCAAGTCAGTCTCGGGTGGGTTCACGTAAAGCAATGGGACTGACAGCTGGATTGAATCTGGTTTAGCAGATTAATGAGAGGTAGAAGGTGATTAGCAATGGGAACAGCTGTGATGTGAGCTGTGACCAGTGCAGTTCCACACACTCCATTCTGAATCTCCTGATTCACTTTCCTCTGGTCAACAGCCTCCAGCTCTCCTCTCCTCCATTGCTCCTTGCTTGGTAATGCTGTTATCTTTGTTGAGCACTTTGGGATGTCCACCCTGCATGGAAAATGTAGAGCCCTGTAGCGTAGTGGTTAACGCACTCGCCTCGCAAGTGAGAGGACCCGGGTTTGTTTCCTGGGTGGGGCGGAACCTGAGGCAGGTTTCCTTACTCTACGCGCCTCTGTTTACCGAGCAGTAAGTAGGGACCCTGGTGTTAGTTGATTCGCGGGTCTCTTTCTGGGAGTAATTCAGCCGTACGTTGTGTGATGTGGACAGGTTTTATTTGCAAACGGGTCGTTCTCAACCTGCCCCCCCCACCCCCAACCCTCCACTCGGCAGGCACTGGCCTGCTTCACATCCGTGGTGGGTACGGCAGAAACTGCCTTCTCTTTTTGAATAGTGTCTTGGCGTCTTAACGTTCCACTTGATTAGGATTTAATCAAACTCACCTAAAGGACGGCACCTCCGTTAACGCAGCCCACACCGCAGTACAATATTGGAGTGTCCGCCTCGACTGTGAGGTCAGAGTCCGGATGTGGGGGCTTGAACCCACAAGCTTTTTACTTGAAGGTGCGAGTACTATCAACCGATTTCAGCTACAATTGCATTTGGCCCGAGAACACTTCTTTTTTTTACAAAATATATATTTATTGGTAGATATATATTTACACTTATCTCAGAAAGGAGCAAAACCTGTCACAGGAAAAAAAGACGCAACACGTTGTTCCCCCCCCCCCCCCCCTCTCTTATGGGGAGTGCGGACAGGTTAACAGCACACAGGATGTGCGCGCATTTTTTTGGGGACGCTTTAAGCACACGGGTGGGCTAGTCCTGGCTCTGCTGACCTTTTACAGGACGGTGAGCCCTTACCTCACTCCCTACTGCTCCCCCCTTTATGGTGGGGGTGGAGTGGCGGAGACAGGCAGACATACATACATTGTTGGAATGCTCTTTGGTTACACGTTGAGTGTCCCCAGTACATTACATGTTTAAACACTTGTTTATTCCGTTTTTTTGGGTGTGTTGTGTGTTACCCAGATATTTTGCGCCCTGATATCTCCCTCTCCCTGAGTACACAGTTGTATTCGTGTGAGGTGGGGATAGAAATCTGTCAAGTCCTGATTGCTATCCACTGACATTGTTATTTGACAAGTATATTAGATTAGTGCAGTTTACGTATGTATCTGTTGCTTACATTCACACCCAGTGAGAATTCTTTCCCATTTAGACCAGGCTGGACAAAACAATGGTCTCTGAGTTTTCCAATTGCTTCCCAACCATTCACGCTGCCAGCTCCTGTTCTGCGCAGTGACTTTTCTCTTTATGTCAGCCTGACTCAGTTGGTAGCACTTTCGAGATGTTAAATTGGTGACTCAATCCACGACTGTTTGTGGGACACTGCTGTGCACAGTTTTGCCGACAAAATGCAGTCAATTCACTTTACAATATATTGTGTGAAGTACTTTAGGATGTCTCAACAATGTGATAAGGCATTATAACAAATGCAAGGATTATTGTATTATTTTTATAAATTGAGATACCGTCTGCCTGTTCAGGTGGACGGTAAGGATTCCATTACTCTACTTGAAAAGAGAAGAGAGTTTCTCTCTCCTGGTGTCGTAGCCAACAACCACCCCAGATAAAATTGGTCATAAAATTGGCTGTTTGCGAGACATTGCTGTATGCTATTGGGCTACTTTGTTTGCCTAGAAATCCGCTTCCCAGTAAATCCTGTGAAGTCCCTTGAGACATCCTCCCATTGTGAAAGGTGCTTGCATGTCTAGAGCACATCTGTGTATTTTGTAGGCAATTGTTCAGATGGTTTGTGCCCAGCAATGTCCCATGAGCTTGCCGTAAAAGGTATCACCAATTTTATCTGGAGGATTGTTGGCCAGGACAGTGGGAGAAACTCCCTTCTCTTTTTTAATTGTGCCAAGGGATCTTTACCTGATCCTGTGGAAACATCTCAAAAGCACTTCACGGTAATTACAGGCAAGTGTAAATGACGACGTTTTGGTTGGCAAACGTGGCAGCATTTTGCATTAGTGACGAGATTGATCTGGGAGCAGGTTGGCTGAGAGGCATTGTTGTCAGTTTACGAATAGTGCCGCTGAGGAGTTGAGCCTCCAACTGAGCACAGAGCGAAGCTAGAGCTATCGTCTCAAACGACAGATCTGTGCAGGCTGACAGTGTG